GATTCTGTAGTACTGTAAGGTCTAGATCTTATTATGTAAAGTGCCCTGAGATGATTGTTCTTGAGATTTGGCTCTATATAAATAGAATAAAATTGAACTGAGTGTCAGCATGTTTGGCACTGTCCTGGCAAATTAGGAGCAAGTGTGAGCTGGCTCTGACCTCTGTGGTGTTGCTAGATTTCAGCAGCCATCTGCATGATACTCAGATAATACTAGGTTTGGGTCACTGAAATGATTACAGCTCCAGTGTCTAATTTATAGCCTGTCCTGTCATGACTAGTCTGGGTCCTGCTACAGTAGGTTGGTGTTTAAAGGCAAAATCAAAGGTTATTTTCATCCGTTTTTAATACCGTCTATAAGATATTAGAAAATAGTGAAAGATTACCATTACAGTTTCCCACATGGCATATTCGAGTTGGAGATGCACTGGCCAAACTTTTTCTGTCCTGAAACTGATTCTAAAATCTCAACTCATGGCATCTGCTGAAACGAAGTTCTGAACTGTTATCACTGCCCAGTTAAAACAGTTTATATCATGTGTGAAACTTATTGGAATATTTTTGTGTAAGGTAGGGGTTACTGTGGACTGAATGTAACTGAGCACTTGACAAAGATGCTGTATTGGTCCTGTAATGGCCGATATCCAATCCACTTATAAAGGCCAGGTTTGCTGCCTTCCTACTTCAGTTGTGATGTTTTGCTAAACCAACAGTTATTTTACAGACTTAAAAAATATTGACACTGGAGAGGTTTAAACAATAGAACCTGAGAAACTGATGATCAAGGATATATCAAATTTGTTGCCAATTTTCAATCACTGTCCAGGGTGTGAGGGGTCTGCAGAAATCTTCTCTGCCCTGCTTCTGATCCTCCTGTCTGTATTTCGGCAGCTCGTGGGTGAGATTTGCTCCCCAGTTACAAGCTGCTTCATCTTCAGCTTTAATATTTCATATGGTACTTAATACACATACAGTGTATATGTAGATGTGTACACATGCAGGTTTACAGAGGCATCTCAGATGAAGTAGTTTTGGGCGGTGTGTTGACAGCATTTGATCCTCTCACAGCTTTTATTCATTCATTCATTCATTCATTCATCTTCTATACCACTCAGTCCCAAACGGGGTTGTGGGGTTGACTGAATCAAATTCAGTTTGACTTCTGTTGTCAGAGTAAACCCAAACCAGAACTAATGTTTGTTCTAACACTAAAGTATCTCTTTGAGGAGGTACAGAGTACTCCTGATAGGGAGAGAAATACAAGCACATGCCCTAGCTCACACATGCATACAAACACTGATCTGTTCTCTGCTGTGCTCCCCTCAAAGTGACCATTTGAACACCCTTCCAGCTAAAATCCATAGCGCAGCCACAGCATTAGCACCACGCTGTCAATAGTTGTGATGTGTAGTGTGAGTCAAAGGAACAATATGTGTGTTTATGTTTGTGTGTTAGTAGTGTTTTGCTGGGATTGTGAGGAGAAAGTTGCATAAACATTTTAAATGGCAGACAGAATTATCTGGACTTGTTTTCATCAAACTGCATGAAAATTTGGACCCAAGTACAAGATAAATCCTTCACTTTTAAATTAAGAATGAAAGCTTATGTACAGAGTAGAATAAAGGTTGTTTTAGCCTTTTATTTCACTTTGTCTTTGAAATTTGATAGGATGTAACCACTTTTTTATTTTTTAGGAGATCATCTCACAAGAATAAAGCTGGCATGTAGTTTATTTTATTGATTCCCACTTGGCTTGGCTATTCATGCTCTGAGAAAACGTGATCATCACGTGAAACTAGGAGTAAGCAACTTAATAAATATGTCTTACTGCTCACACTCAGTGAGGAACTTTGCCTTCCTGGCTCTTTATAGCATACAGGCCCTGATATCTGATGGGGAAATGGGCAATATTTCAAATACTGATTCTGACAGTTTTTGCTTTTGTTCCTGATTTTCAGCTAAAAGGCCAAAATTCATGCTTTTATCCAAAGGCAAATGCAGTGAGTTGCACTCTGTGATGTAGTCCATATGGGCCAATACACTGGAGATCCCCACCAGGCTATGACAATAAAATCAAAAAACATCTTGTTATACAGAAGCACATTACATTCACCAGAGAAAAAAATGTAGAGGATCTCATCTCATATTTATGACTTACCGTCTCATAATTTATTTTGCTACCTAGTGTTGTCAGATGTAAATAGCCTGCCAAAGAATTTTTTTTTTAAAACCAAATGTTTCTTTAACAGGTTTTGAAGCTTTCCAACTCCTGCTCAGCACATGTACTGTATATAATGAGTTACACTGTTGGCAGCAACTTTGAGGCCTGTTTGTATTCTATATTTGTTTATGTTTTGGAACACCAACTATGCAGAATTAATAGCTATTAACAGTTCGGTTTATGCACAATTGGATGTACTGATAACTATCACTGAATTATTTTGATATCAAAGAATTTATTAAATGTTCTGCAGCATTCCAACCCCTGCAACTCATAATTACAAGATCCTCCAATTTTTTTTTCTTTTGCAAATACATTGCACTTTCATAAAAAATAGCTGCAAAAACAGGGCAGCTTCAGTCGGAGTTTAATGAGTGTAAGTACCTCATGAACACAAACATGCCCACTAACACATGATCGCCTGCGGTTCATCTTAACGACTGTAATCAAATGTAATCAAAGTGATCCAGTCTGTCTGCTGTCTGCTGACACCACGCTCAAGCTCACAGCACACAATGCATGCAGGGAGTGGCTGTTTGATGTGCTGCTCCTGCTTCAGGCCACACACTGGAGCTTAGCTGGTTTCTCTCAAATGGAAGAAGCCCAGCTGCCCTGCGCAGAGTCACATGGAGTCACTCTAAATCCCCTAAAAGGGAAATTGTTTTGTATTGTTTAAAAAAAAGAGACACATCATTCAAATATTTAACTGCAATCCTTACACAACCTAGATGTGTCCATTAAAGAGGAAAAAGGCTCTTTCATGTTGTTGAAAAGCAAAGGAAAAGAACAAACTATTAGGGAATGTTCATTGGTGGTGTGTTTTTCTCCTTCCTGTGGCCACACACAGATGACAACATGCTCATCACACGTTATTCCCAGAGGTGTTTATAAAGCATGTTTCAGTGATTCAAAGCAGAAGTCAGTTTTATGCCTGGATGAATTCTAAGGTGATGGGAAGTTGAGACCGGATGCCTCAACGGCTGCCACCCCCCACTATCTCCACTTCAGGCTCAGCACTAACACATGACACACTAAAACTATACGATGTAGGTTTTCAGTCATGGATGATATGGTGCTAAATGAGATGTCAGTGGATCACCTATGTGATTACAGTTCCTCCTGAGGGAAATTATTGAATGTGGGAAGTAAATTTAATGACAAGCCATCCAGTAGTTTTTGAAATATTTAGTTGAAAACAATACATGTTGGATGCTACAGGAAAAGTCGGGGATTCAGCAGTGTCATTACTATTCATCCCCTAGAGGCCATAAATATCTGTAGCAAATTTCAGGGTAAAGTGGTAGACTGATCAAATAACACTGCCATCAATAGACACACCACTAATATGGCTAAAAAACATTATCAGTAATGTGGTATATGAGTCTAATGAGAGTTTTCAAAATGCAGCTGGAGGTGTGTTTCTATGACACACATCTCCAAGAACAGCCGACTGATCATGATGAGTCTGTGCTATGTGATGATAGTGTGCATTGATGACTGACAGCTGCAGTCTCGCTTCAGGACCAATGAACAGCTGGTGGCTTTCCTGTCCAAATACCGCAACATGAACTTCATCAAATCTCATGGCAGAGACAACGCACGGTAAGACAGAGTCATTAGCTCTCGGTCTCTTGCTGTTTCTTGTCCTTTTTGGGGTTTTTTTCTAATTATGAAATCAGTTTTTTGGTAACGAACCAAAACAATTATGAAGTGTAATCTAGAGGTCAGAATGATGATCCACAAACTACAATACATTTCCCTTTTTATGCCTCCGTGCCAGTGATAGCTGCTGCCGGAGACATTATGTTTTTGCGTTGTCCATCTGTACCAATCTTGTAAATGCGATATCTCAGGAACACCTTGAGGGAATTTCTACAAATTTGGTGCAAGTGTCCACTTGGACTCAAAGATGAACTGATTAGATTTTGGTGGTCAAAGGTCAGTGACCTCCCTTCTGTCCTATATCTGTGAATAATATGCATTATACCTATCTCTTCCTACAGTATGGCAGTGAATGGGCCTCCAGGTGGAAGTATTTGATTTGTATCTTATGTTCAAACTCCAGATTAACACTAAAAACCATGTCTTCTCAGTTTTATCCGTAAACAGGGTCTAGATCGTCTCTTCTACGAGTGTGACACTCACATGTGGCGGTTGGGGGACCGCAAGATTCCAGAGGGCATTGCGGTGGATGGAGGCTCTGATTGGTTCCTGCTTAACCGGGCCTTTGTGGATTATGTGGTCAACTCCAAAGACGAACTGGTCAGCAACATGAAGCGCTTCTATGCTTACACTCTGCTGCCTGCTGAGGTAACTCCTACATGCACTTAAGTAACCATTCAAAATCTGTATCTAAATACATAGAAAGTCTAAAGGCCTGCTGGCGTCCTCCAGGGAACAACATGAATATTGACAGCATAAGGTAACTGACCTTGTAGTGGTTGACTTATCTGTCTCTGCGCCAACAGAAATTTTTTCAACGTTTAGCTCAGAACGCATCTCAGACTGTATCCACAGGTGGTTTGAGCCATGTGACTGGCATACATATATATTGAATTCTCTGTGGATGAATTCAGACTACTGATGCTTTTTTGAGATTGCATAGCTAACCACCCAAAATGCTTTAAGTGACGAGGAGTGGGGTCTTTGATAATCAGTTAATTCTTTGTCATTTATTGATTTTATTTAACCTTTTATTCAGCCAGGAATGTCTCATTGAGATTTAAAATCTGACCAAGGTAGCAATGACAGTGAGTCACAGACAAACAAAAAATGCGACAATCAGAATTAGACCAGCTTTAGTAAAATCTGTAATGCAGTTATATAAATGATTTCATCATAGAAACACCTTAAAATGCATTTTTGTCTAAAGCCATAAAAAGAACCAAGACTTATGTAAAGCAATAATGTAATATAATTAACAATGCAAGATCCTTAATATGCCATATAATAACTTGCAGCTGGTAATGTAATATCTGTTTTTGTATGTACAGTAAATTAGCTTTTTTTTTAATTGGGAGATAAACATATCTTTCTGCATTTCCTCTGACCTCCAGTCATTTTTCCACACTGTGCTGGAGAACAGCGCCCACTGTGAGACCATGGTGGACAACAACCTGAGACTTACCAACTGGAACCGCAAACTGGGATGTAAATGCCAATATAAGCACATCGTGGACTGGTGTGGCTGCTCACCAAATGACTTCAAGCCCTCAGATCTGCCGCGCTTCCAGGTGAGACCTAATGGGCTTGTTGTGATTACCTAACAGCTGTGCAGTATGGTTTATGCAGAATCCATATCATACACTTTTTTTTTTTATTCAAGCCAAGTTATTTTGTGTCTTAAACATGTCTGGGGTGGATCTTAAAAATGTATGATGTCATGGGGGACCAACCCAAAATGGCATCCAAATGGCCCTCAGCCAGTCCTATAGACCCCTTTTCTTAGTAAACATTATAAAATTTTGTGTGGGCGGAGCATAGCTGGAGGCAAAATAATCCCCTAAATGTGTTATCTAACGCTGGATAGCAAGTTTTTTTGTATTGTATTTTAACAGTGGCTGAAGAAAATACAAGTTTATCTGAATATCTCAAGGACTGCGAGTGCTACTTGAAAAAGTTGACATTAACCAATGGGATTCGATTTGCAGACCCAATTGAGAGAGTGTAGCATCTGTATTTGAAGGAATTTAACTTGGGAACAGTGAAGTGTTCTGATGCTAACCAAGTTGTTAGCAGGATTTCTTCAGACACTAAAGCATGTATTATTAAAGGAAAAATATGTGATGCTTAACAAGTAAACACAGCAGTCAAATACTGTATATTGTTAAAGATATGACAAAAGCGTGCCTTGTTCTCAGATTTATTGAGAGGATGAGAGGAGAGCTTTGTCTTTTATGTCTAAAGACGCTTGATGCTCAACGTTACATTTTAATTTGTACAATATTATTTTAGGAACATGTTAAAAACATTCCTGGTCCAGATAATGTTATTTTAATGAAACGTCCTCAACATAACTATTCATAAAAAGTAGATAAAATTTCCATGTGGAGCATGAATTTTTTTTTTGGTTCAAACATGACAAAAACAGTCAGCTGGGCTGACCTGTTAACTGTTTTAGATCAGACTTCCTCTGAAAGAAACATATTTGTCCATCTGTTGTATGAAGAGCTGATGTATGAAGATTTCTTTGAAAGGGTAGTTAGCCCTCTATTTAACTTGGCACATTTTTTTTATTTGTTTTGCTGGGGGTGACTGATCATTTTTGAAGGATTTTCTGTAAAAGGCTGGTCAAACACAGATACAAAGATGATAAGTCATCATGTTACTAACCCTGGACATTGAGTCAGTCTGCACTGCACACCCTTTCTTCTCAGGGCCTCGGTGGCCTGGGACCAGAATAGCTTCGTATTCACAAATTAGCAGTGCTGCTTTTACTTACAGTGCAACAGGCGGTCCTTGGTTTCCTTGTAACGACAGATCTGAGGTCTGCATCTGTGGTAAAGCTACTAATGGTCTCCATAAGGAAAGCTGATCCTCAAATGAAACAGCTGTACACTTTAGTATTTTTAGAGCTTTGTCGCTCAGTGCTGCTGTGGTTTCTAAGGTTGTCATTACCATAATGCTGGGGTTTGCCAGCTACGAAAGCAACTCAGCGAGTCCTGAATGTCAGGGTCAGTCACATGTACAGTACATACACTATAACAGTTTTTGGTTCTGTAAAATTCTGACTTGCATCCTTCAGTTGTCCATCTTTTGTTTTTGTTTGTTACATTTTTAGACTAGTGCTGATAAATTGAAAAACATATTGACTGATTGGTCTGTGACCTTAGCATTTCAGTACAGGAGTCTAGTTCAATCCTCACATTAAAGTGCCAGACTAGCTAAGGCAAGCTAAGCACTAAGGCAAACAGAAGAGATTTCTAATCAAAACATTAGACTGAAGAAATCATCCAGCCATTAATTGTCCTATTTCTATAGCCTTCCCTGCCATCGATTCCTGAACACCCTTACAGGCCTGACTTAAAGATACAAATCCATAGGGGTGTGACAGTACACTTAGCTCACAAGATGAGACGATGCACGATATTGGGTTCAGATGACATTTTAACATTATTTTTAAGAAATCTTCAATGATGAAAAATATGACTGAAAAAGTAGTCTATTAGTTGATTAGTTAGGCAAGCAAAATCTTCAAAAATGTTTGATTGTTTTACAAACAAAAATGCCAAAAAAAAAGGATTGTGGTTCCCACATCTTAAAGATGCTTATTTGCTGGCATTAGTGTTCTGTGATTATTAACTGAATATCTATTGACAAATCAAGACATTTAAATAAGTAAACCTTTGTCACTATTTTCTGATTTCTAGACCATAAAATTAATGAATCTTGAAAATTCTCAGCAATTTAAGCAATAATGACAAAGTAATAGTGGTAGTAGAGGACAACCAACACTGGATTCATGAGGCTGAGTTGATGTTTGACTTACTGTATTAGTCAGATAGGAAAACAGAGAGGATGGCATAGTGGAGCAGTGGTTAGTGCTGTCACCTCACAGCAAGCTGGTTCCAGGTTTGAGCCCTAGGAGACCTGTTGCTTTTCTGTTTTCTGTGCCAGAGTTTGCATGTTCTCCCTGTGCCTGCATGGGTTCCCTCCGGCTTCCTCCCACAGTCAAAAGACATACAACTTAGGTTGACTGGCGACTCTAAACTGCCCCTAGGAGTGAGTGTGTGTTTGTCTGTCTCTAAGTTTCAGCCCTGTGATAGACTGGCGATCTGTTCAGGGTGTACCCTGCCTCTCCCCCAAAGTCAGCTGGGATTGGCTCCAGCCTCCCACCACGTTTAGTGTCAAGGTGCCTAAGAACAAAGCATTTAACCACAGCCTGCACTAGAGGAAAGGCTTAGGGGTACAGAATCTGAATCAGCCTGTAATCTGTATTAATGTGGATTATTTTTGAGCAATTTTACAGCAGTGGTCTACTTCAAGATAATTTCGCTACCACTACTAATGCTTAATGCTCTGAAGCCACTTTCTGTGCTTCGGTGATAGCTGTGGCTGTAGGCTTTATGCTTTTGGATTGTCCTTACGGCCCATTCTTGTGAATACAGTATCACAGGAAAGCCTTGAAGGAATTTCTTCAAATTTGGTGCAAGGTTCCACTTAGACTCAAGGATGAACCAATTCGATTCTGGTGGTCAAAGGTCACTGTGGCCTCACGTTTGTCCTATTCTTGTGAATGTGTTATCTCAGGAACACCTTGAAGGAATTTTAAAAAAATTTGGCACAAATGTTCACCTGGACTGGATCTGTGACATCATGTCTGTCTATTCCCATGAATTTGAATGGTTGTTGGAGGCATTCAACTGCTAATCTGTAATTCTAGTTTATTTTTCTTTGATACAGATTAGATTAACTGAAGTGGTCTGCAGGTCTGTTGGATGTAAACACGAGTGTGTCTAAGCACATCTGTGCAGCACAGTTCATAAAGTGGTTCAGGCAAAGATTGACCTACCTACCACACTGGATGTAGACACTCAAAAACACTCCTATTTATTGAGGTGCAGAAGTTTGTTTCCCATTCTTGGGATTATTATCATATACACTATAATGTAGACTTGTGATTTAAACCCATTTGCTTTTTCTTGATTTTAGCAGTCATAATTACATGTGTAGCAGCACTGACTGATATACTGTATCTTGCTAGTCAGTAATCTTATTTTCAGTGTGAATCTTTTAAACTGACAGAACTGGGTGCTGGAGATTTATTTTGTGTTCATTCTTTGCCTTGCATAAAATGTAACAGAGCAGTTCCACATCTGGAAAAACACTGAGTGCGATTTCAACCTGGATCAGTGTTGCCACTTGTAATAACTTAAAATATAGACTTTTGATTTTACCCTACAATTTGTCATTATCTTGATTTTATAACTTTTCACTGGTGAGTTCTACACTTATTTGTCACTTCACTAATGCCTTACCTGAAATTTGACTTGCTCTAATTTCCCTCATCTCTTTCTGTCTTTCTTGACCACAGCAAGTGTCCAGACCCACCTTCTTTGCCAGGAAGTTCGAGGCCAGTGTCAGTCAAGAAATTATCAGTCAGTTGGACTCCTACTTGTTTGGAGAATATGCCTCAGGCACCCCAGGCCTCCAGGCCTACTGGGAAAACATCTTTGAGCAAGAAACGGATGGCCCTGCCAGCCTGTCAGACTCCACACTCAGCCACTATCACGCCTTTGCTCGTATGGGACTGTCCCGTGCTGCTAGCTCACTGCAGGGCCATCCCAAAGACAACAGCTGCAGGTAAAAACATGGGTACCAGGCATTCATATATTAAATGAGCTGGATGCAGTGTAATAGTCTTGCTGTTGGAGTCTAGGGTTTATTAAAGGGATTTGAGGGTTAATGAATGGGCTGCAGGAGTTCTTGATATGTATCCAGGGAATTCTCACATGTTAGAGGGATTACTGGGGTCCCAGGGGTTCTTGATGAATTTGATGCAGTTCCTGGGTTGTTCCAAGGCTTTTTGTGTAGGGTCCAAAGGTACTAAAGTGTATTTCAGTTTGATCAATCTCAATATAATGATCACAGTTAGCAGTGCATTGTGCTTTTACATCAACCTGTTTTAGTACAGTTCAAACAAACTTTGGTGTGTTTTCCATAAGGGCCAGTTCATTTAAGGTGGTGTGAAAGCTGTCAGTCAAACTCTGGTACATACCAAACAGTTCTGGTCCAGCAACACCAGTACAGACAAAAACATGGTTTTAACATGGATTCAAAAGCTACACTGTTAAATTCATCAGCTCAGTGGGACTGCCAAAAGAAACTTTAAGTAACTTCCAAGTAATCCATATATGACCTGTATGTATGGATATCTAATGTACATATTTAAGAACATATGGTAATCAATATGCAGATCAGCACAGAATTTTTCCTGATACTTCATAAAAGGTGAAAGAATGTAGAAGTGGTGTTTAGCTTGTGCCCTGCTCTGTGTATTTCAATAGTTTATTAAAACACAGTGGCCACACCACACTGCCCTACACCGTATTTGAAACAAGACACCTCTTTTTATCCGTTATGCCACCATTTCAAATACATATGAGGTCCAGTTGCCACCTCGGTTATTATCACAGTTGTGAGATCAGAGGAGATCAACACCCAAGTTTCACTTACTGCCAATTCCAAGAAATTAGATTTTTCACTTGGGTCCATGTAGCACTGATGATGACAGTCACCAAAGTGTCCAATCTAAGTTACCCATCAGTCAATGTGACTTCATGTTTACACCTCGATTTGTTTGCAATAAGAAAGGTTTGTCAAGAAAAAGACAATGTCTTTTTCTTTTTATTTGGACCAAGCTACGGGTGTTAGAGCAAAAGTCTGTGCAGGCTCATAAACAGGCATCACATCTGTGAGTGTATTAGGATGTTCTGTATAAGTCATTTAGTTGCTGGGTCAGTAGACTTGGTCTTCATGTTTTTGCTGAGAGAGAAACTGTACAGTCAATGTCTGAGGGTAGTGACGAGGACTGGCATATGAAATGTCTTTCCACTAAACTCACCACCACTGTTTGTGTGATTTTTGCGAGTCCAAATTAAATATGAAGATAACGCTGGCTTGTCCTGAGGCACAATTAGGCTTCAGTTGCTGCACAGGCTGGATTTTTCCAGCAGCGTGTGTGTTTGTGGGGTGGAGACCCACAGTAGGTACAAGGAGGTGCTTGTTGTTGGAGTTCGGGTGGGATTGGTGGCTAGAATGGGTGGGGGCAATATTATGGGAAAAGTCTGTGTGTGTGTAGGGGAGGGAGGGAGTTAAAACAGGACTAGTCTGTTCCCTTCAACACTGTAGACTACATCCACCCTATTACAGATACATTTGAAAATAGTACGTGTGTGTAATCATGGTTCCATTTTCATCACTACTGTGACACAGTTTCTAGTTGGCAGACTTTAGTCTACATATAGTTGAACCCACTAGGTTCCTTATTTTGCTTTGAATACACCAAAATTGTGCATTACTCTCACCGTCAGTCAGTGTTTTTATGGCGTTAACGCTTTAGTCTCTGATTGCTTATGTCATGTTTCAGTACAGCTGATCACATGTTATTTACATACTTGCTCTTGTTGGAACTTATGTCATGTATCAGTACAGCTGATCACATGGAGCAGGTGTTATTTACATACTTGCTCTTGTTGGACAGCTGCAGTAGTATACAACGTAGTTTGATCAAGGCTCATTGCTAATCAAGGCTCATTGTAATTACTGGGCTGCTTCAGTCCTTGTATTAAACTGTTTTAATGCTGATTAAGCTGGCTGATCACGGAAACATAAAACTAAAGGTCTACAGCTGTTCTAGCAGCTCTATGAGGCTGTACCTCATTTATAGCAGTGCTTTGAGTTAAATGCTAATATCAGCATGCTAACATGGTCACTGTGATTCCCCCATGTTCACTCTTTAGCATGTTAGCCTGCTGTTTTCTAATTAGTGTCAAACATTGTACAGCTGAGGAAGATGGAAATAACATTGGTTTGGTAGAGTACTGGACAAACTGAAATGTAGATGTGATGATGGATCTAGATGAAAAGTCAGTTTATTCATTCATCCTGAGGGGCATGAATGTATTTGAAATTCCATGGCAATCTCTGCAATAGTTGTTGAGAGATTTCAGCCCGGACCAAAGAGGTGGATTATCAGACTGATCTTGCCATGCTGCTAGTGTGGCCAGTATGGTAATGACAACATCTCTTCTTTGAGATTAGAAATACTGACTCACAGTGATTACAGTGACAGTCTGGCAGCTTTGTGTGGATGAAGTATAACATGGAGAGAAGAGGTGCATTTTCAAATCTGTCCACTTTATTGCATATGGTCAGAGCCTCACAGTACAGTTATCTGTGTGCATCTGTGTGCACCTGTCTCTCTCTCTCTCTCTCTCTCTCTCTCTCTCTCTCAGGTACATGGCCATGAGCCACCCAGTGTCAGTCCATCTCTACTTCCTGTCAGACCAGTTCCAGGGCTACCTGGTGCATCATGTCGCCACTAACCGGGCCTCCACACAGCTGGAGAGGTTGGAGACCTGGGTAACGCCAAGAGACCACTTCACCCTGGCAAGCCCACCTCACCCCACCAACAGGCTGCAACACATCCAGGTCAGACTAAGACATACTTAAGTGTTCATATCAACATGGATGCAGACACCACCAGCAACAGATTGTCTGGCCATATTCAGCATATTTAAATATCATGTTCAGGACATTAGTATTAAACTGAATATTTAAAGGTTCTCAAATCCTCACCATCAAGTGACAACCATGTATATTTGAATTTGACTCTTTCCTCTTCTGACTATTTTGATAAGTTAAGGAGCTTGCTCTTTTTTGGTTTGCAAAAACTTCCTGGGCCCAAAAAAAGTCCAATTCATAGAATTGTCTCAAAAAATGTTTTTAACCAAGCATATGAAAGGTCTTTTCTTGGAAGTACAGGGTTTTCATCTGACTGTAGGCACAACAATCTTTACGAATATTTTTCACAAACAGTTTAGTTTCTGTATTTAGGTCAGTCATTATCATTTAACTGTTTGGTATGAAAACTAATCTAATAAATTGCAATTATTAGCACTTAAATATAAGATAAACAAGTCCCAAGTCCACTTTTCTCTTGTAATCAAATTAATCATCTACATATCAACAGAAAATAGATTAAGAGCGACCAAAGGGTCCTCTGAGGGAGGGGATGGCTAAACGTTCAGAGGCAGAGGAGCACAGCGGTTGCATCAGGGTGCAAGCTGTCTTTTGTCACCTGATTTTAGTTTTAGAATCCTTTTGGTCTATAGGTTGGGACGGATTGGGATCCTAAGGAGCGTCTCTTCAGGAACTGGGGTGGTCTGCTAGGGCCTGAGGACGGGCCAGTGGCTGTGCAGCGTTGGAGCCGAGGCCAGAGTAACCTGACGGTCACTGTGGTGTGGATTGACCCCACCAACGTCATCGCCGCCACCTACGACATCCTAGTGGATGCCGCTGCTGAAGGCACACCCTAACGCCGTTAACCCCGCCACTGAGGCCCGGCATGTGGACGCTGAGGGTTCTTCACCATTGGAGCACAGTGGGTCAGACCAATTTTATCGTGGCTCCACTGGAGTTTCACCGACAACAGCCCATACAGCAAGGTGAGCAATCCAGACTGACTGTGTTTACAACCATTCAGGACACAAGTGGAGATTCACCACTTCACAATGTTTGGGTTGAGTGAAAGCAAGGGTTTCCCCCCCCCCCCAATCTGTGTAATTACAGTGTATAGTCACTGGCCGCTTTATTAGGTACACATACTGTATGTACACTTGTATGCAGTTCAACACAACACTTCTGCCTTAACATCTGTGTTTACGAAGCCCAGAATGTTTCAGTTTTTGGTGAAATTGTCAAATGTATAAATTCAATTATATGTTTATTATTGAGGTCATAGTTAAAGGTGGTGTTTTTCTGGACTACATTATATTCAAACAAACATTTTGGGCTTCATAAACACAGAAGATGGAAGTGTTGCATTGAAGTGCATACAATTGTACAGGTGTACTTAATAAAGTGGCCCATGAGTGAATATCACAATGTATATTTTATGGAAAGCTTTTAGATGAAAACATCCACCTACTGCATTTATCAGCAGTTAGTTTGCTCAGCTGCCTTTGAGATGAGTTAGTTGTTCAGATTAAAGAGAGCAAAAACACATCAGATGCTGGAAAACAGGCCTGGTGAAAAGACTTACTTCCACAAAATAATTCAATTGGACAAAGTTTCGACCCCCTTCTCTATGCAGTGATGGTCTTTGGTATTAGATCTGAATGGCCTCCCGTATCTCCAGGGAAGAGGTCAAAGGTCATCAACCAAGAGTCAGTTGATGGCCAGAGAGAGATCAAGGAGGGCATTCACATCCAATGCAGAACGCCATCTTTGAACATTTACCACCACCTGTCCCCCCAAATGATGATAACTTAACCATCTCCATGACAACTAAGCAGCTCATCTACTGAAAGCACTAGAAAGACCAAGTAACTGGACCTTGTGATAAGAATTTTCCAATTTAACTTTCAAACCCAAATGATGATGTGTAATAAGACAATTAGACAGAGGCTTGTTTTTGGCTAATCCACTGCAGTAAATAAAAGAAATTAAGATATCTCATCACATTAGTGCAAAAATCCTCCAAACCCAGCACTGTTCTAAACTAATACTAAAGGTATGGAACAGTGGTATGTATATACCCATCAATGAATTTCTATTTAAAAACAAAAATGATTAATATTAATGACCCAATGTTAACTCACATTTTGTAGAAACTGACACCAAGTGCAGAGTGGATAGTACTGGGGAAAGTTTACAGCAAATGCACAGGGCCAGGTCGAGATCTGCCTGTAAAGAAAGAGTGAAATGTTAGAACTGAGTGGCATCATCCTCTGTCTCATTTGTCCTTATTAGGGTATTAATTTATGCAAAGAGCAAGTAAAATACTAACTTCCCCTTAAAAACTACTAAAAACAGGCACAATATTAGTGTTAACCTTCAGTAAAATTCTCACAGAAACACCTGTTGATGGCATGCGGGAGCTTTAGAAGGGCCGCTGTGATCCATATGCGAATGGAAGATCTACTGCTTAAATTACACAGGGCAGAGACCCTTCTGTCATAGCTTTCAACACCATGCATACATATTTATAGTGTCAGTATCCAGTCCCTCGGCCACGTATACACAGGGTCACCTCTATCCAAATTAGCCTCCGCCGGGGTTACTGGCTTCCACATGTGTGCGTGTAGAGGGGATAACTGCATCACCCCAAGTAAAGCCCAGAGCATGACTAGACAGAGTTTCATGGGTCAGTGTTCCAAAGTGAAGGTGGCATGTGACATACCTATGCCTCTATAACTGGTGTCTGTATGTTGAAATACAGCATGTTCACCTCTAAAATCACCTAAATTAATCATTGTAAAACCCACTGGGTTCTCTAACAAAACATAATTCTGGAAATATCTACAGAACAGCTCACATGTAGATGGATAAAGTGTTCATCCATATCCATTTAAAATACATTGAAAGATAACTGCGTATTTCCTAATTGAGGTTACTAGAAATGTCTAAATGACCTATTTCTACCAGCTGGACCAAGAGTTTGATGATGGCGGGAAGGAATGCTCTTTAGAATGGTAGTAGTTTTTTAAATTATCTATTGGGATTTTAAAGGACTGCTGGGATTTTTAAAGGATTGTTGGGATTATGATATTCTTTTGGAAGGTCTATCCCCATTTGTGACCTCTGCATTCTGTACGTTACTCCACTAGTCTGTCACATTCTCACTGCAAATATTTTTTTAACCTATTATCCTACAGTGTTCTTTTAATATTTAAAATGTATTTTGTGAGCTCACAGGTGTTTGCCATCTGGCCAGTATAAACATTTTCAACGTTTCATACCACTGTTTCCGCAGACCACAGTCAGTATGTATTTTTCCACATTTTGTTTGACTCATCTTAAAATGGATTCTGTTCAACTTTTTTTCCTCAAACTACACACAACACTCCACAGTGATCAAGTGAAAACAGGTTTTTGGAGTGTTTCATAAATATATTAAAAATAAAAGACTGAAATATCCCACTTACAGGTATTCAGACCCTTTGTTATGACACTTGTAAATGAGCTCTGGTGCATCCTACTCCCATCAATGGTCCTTGAGATGTTTCTACAAATTAGATATAATCAGGAAAGGCATATACCTGTCTATATAAAGTCTCACAGTTAATGGTGTATGTCAGAGCAAAGCCATGAGGTGGAGACAACTGTCCATAAACCTGCAAGACAGGATTGCATCAAGACACAGATCTGTGGAAAGATACAAAAACATTTCTGCAGCATTGAAAGTGCCCAAGAGCATAGTAGCCTCGATCATTCTCAAATGGAAAAGATCAGGAACCGCCGCCAGTCTCCATAGATCTGGTTGCCTAGCCAAACCGAGTCATCGGGGACAAAAGGACTTGGTCAGATAGGTAACCAAGAACCCAAGGGTCACTACCTTACAGATGGACAACCAATCAGCACAGCACTCCACCAGGCAGGCATTTTATGGTAGAGTGGCCAGGCAGAAGCCGTTCCTCACTAAAAGGCACATGACAGCCTGCTGGGAGTTTGCCAAAAGGTACCTGAAGGACTATTAGACCATGAGGAAAAAAATCCTCTGGTCTAATGAAACAAAGATTGAACTATTTGGCCACAATTCCCAACGGTGCATATGGAGAAAACCAGGCATTGAGCATCATCTCATTAGTACCATCCCTACAGTCGAACATGGTGGTGGCAGCATCATGGTGTGGGGATGTTATTCTGTGACTGGAAGACTAGCCAGGATAGAGGGAAGGATGGATGCAGAAAAAATACAGAGCAATTCTAAATGATTAAAGCATTTCCTAAATGAAAACCTTCTTAGGATGTCAGAAGAATTTTAAGAAAATTCCAAAATTAAAATGTGCCAAACTTGTAGCTTTATTCTCAAGAAGACTTGAGGCTGTCATTGCTATCAAAGGTGCTTTAACCAAATATTAAGTGAGGGTCTGAATACTTAAGTGGGATATTTGTCTATTTTTAATACATTTTCAAAACACTTGAAAAACCCGTTTTTACTTTGTCATTGTGGGGTACTGTATGTAGATAAGGAAAAAAAAAGTTAATCGAATCCATTTTAAGACGAGTCTGAAAGATAAAATGTGAAAAAGGCTCTGAAAACTTTCCATACTGACTGTATACCAACATGGCTCTACTGTTCTCTTCTTCATTGTATCAGCTTTATGCTTGGCACAGTCTATGGAAATAACTGGATTTGGCCTTTGGCTTCACCCCAGGCAAAGATGCTTCCATCCCGAACAGGCAGTAAACACCTGTGAGATTATGTGACTGAGTTAGAGTAACATATGCAGCCCAAAGATCATAAATAAAGGCTTAAGGTAAAACCAGTTTTTTTCCCCGTTTCAAACCATCCAAAGACAGAACAGTTTTTTGCTGAATGTTGAAAAGGTTCTCTAGCCTTTCCCAATCCATGTTCTCAGATCTTTATAGTTTTATCTCAAATTCTCAGTTCCTCATTTTTCACTTGCCATCTTCTCCACCCACCCTGTCCTAACCCTTGTTCCTGGGATCTAGAGGATGCTATGCGACTGCACAATGGCCCGGCCAGAAACTCCTACATGGAGCAAAGTTTCCATGGCCTGAACCCAGTACTGCGGCTTCCGGTGAGCCTGGGTGCTGTGGAGGAGGCTGAGGCCAATGCCGGCCTGACAGGGGAGCCACTCCATCGCTGGCTGGACCGACTGCTGGAAGGCCACTGGTCCGCCTCAGATGTCTGCTCAATGGGCCCAAGTGCTTGTCCTGTTATGCAGCGATGCCACCTCACTGTCTGGAGCTCCGCCAGCCCCGACCCAAAATCTGAACTGATGTTGCCCAAAGAGAATGGACGAATCAGGTAGCAGACGGCCGGACTGACGCAGGAGAAGAGAACAAATCAAGGAAGGTGCAGGGCTGATGTCTTTTTAGTGTTGGATATTTATTTATTTATTTAAAGTTTGTGAACAACAGTGAGGTGGGGGTGAAAGAAAAGGACGGAACTTCAGAGGCAGTGACGGGAGGAAGGGGAACAGACTCAGACACTGAGGAGGAACATGTTCCTTCAGTTTTCATTCAGTCTGCTGCCCTCACCGATATTTGGGACTACAAAGCTGTGTGTGTTAGAACGACTATACCTCTTGTTGCGCGAGTGTGTTGAACATGTTGAGAAGCTGAATACTTATATGGTTGCATATTTTTATACGGAGCCCCCAAATTGTCATAGTGATGATTTTTTTTTTCTGATCTTCTTTTGCATTTCCAAAAATGGAGTACTGCAAGAACATACTGAAAATATGAAACCAGGTCTTACAGTCCTGTAGGTTCAGCCCTATCTGTGGATTCTGTCATCTGCTACTAGATGCAGCTCTTATGATGAAAAGACTGATCAAAAATACCATCTCAAAAATGTGCTGTATACACAAGTTAGCTTCATTCTCTTGGAATAACCAGGTGTGATCAGGTCACACGTTGCATGCATCATACACATCTCAGTCGCATGTTTGATCACAAATGAAATCGACAGCCTCCTCCAGATTATAGTAACCTACTGCTTTCTTTTAGAAAGTCCTTCAGTCTACTTTGTTTTCTTTAGTTAGCTTTCACTAATTACATAACCATACTTAGTACTGAGCAGTAATATTGTTTCCATATACTTAATGTCAAGTTATGAGCAGACCCATAGCTACCGTGGTGTCGCACTAGGCAAAAAGTATTGCGAGAGAATGCAAAAGAAGATCAGGGGGAAAAAAATGTTCACCACTATGAGCCTTAGAGGGCTTCATACGTTTTGGGCCTATTATCTTTATACAGTTTTTATGATCAAGACTTAGTTTCATAGTACTCATTACTTTTTCTTTTTTTTTTAAATTTAGGACTGTTATTCCTGTAGTTAAATTTTATTCAAGGTTCTCATTGTTTGATGCAGTCTTCCAGTCAGAGAACTCCATGAAAATTACTTTATAATATCCGAGAGGGTAACGTTGGTCCTGGAAGGCACAATGACAGGTTTCCCTAACATTCATGTTCAATTCGGAGATAATGGACCTAAAAATAAGTTATTCACAACCACAGATGCTCTCATAGCCTAGTAAGTATCGGAGGGCTCTGATAGCCTGCTCCCTCAAATTTTATGTTTTGCACACAGTCTATGTCTTTGTCTGGTTTTTCATAGCCCTAAATTAAACTAGAAACTTTAAAATTAAAAGTATAAGATTTTACTCTATACAGGTACCTCAGAATTTTACTCAGATATAGTATTTGAGTAAACCACCAGTGCAGACTACCTTTGAAAATTTCTCCTTTCACGCCATCTGGCTGTGTGTCTATTTATTTCTGTGCCATGTCTGAATCCTTCAGACCACCTGAGACATCTGCTGTGCTGGAACTCAGAAGAAATTCACCTCCTCTCCCTTTTTTTTCCTCTTTGCTGTAGAAACGGATGTGATAGTGTCAAAGTGTACAGCTGCTATATGAGTATTTTAAGTTTTTTCTAAGCCAGTGATTAATATTTTATATGCAGAATTTTTGTGCAATAGGTGAGATAGGTTTTGACTTGTCTGCTCTCATTTCACACTACAGATACAAGGATATTACAACCACGGTGCTTAAAGTACAGCTATTTTTTATCATCACTTTGTTATTTAAACTATAAAATATCAAAAATACAGCATCTAATACCCCTCAACACCTAGCGGAGCACAAGCCCTGAAAATGCATATGTGTAAAATTATAGTTTATTAAACTAACTGCAAAGTTTATATTCTGTGACTCTACAATCAGTGATTGTTTGGAAAATTTGTATTTAATGTTCACTGTTACACAACTATTTAATATTCCTATATTAATTTCATGTGTAAATAACCAGAACAGTGGTTAAAAGCAATGATTTTGAACAACTTTTCTTGGTTTGTGTATTTAAATATTGATTATATGTATTGATTTATTGATTTGTTAGTCTCATATAGCATTTCATGCTGACTTTTTCCATTTCTGAATTTTGAATCAATTTTCTTCCATACAAAGTAACATTACTTCCTGTAAGTTAATTTTTGGATTTAGTGGCAGGAGAGGAGGCTGTATAACATAACATAGATGCACCTTAAGATTTCCATGCTGCTTAGTGAAGGACATTGGTCAGAGACAGTTGGCCAAACAAATGTCTATATCAAGACTGGGTTGCACCAGTAAGAAAAGTTATACTGACCAGTAATGCATAATACACGATCCTCAGTAATTCAACTAAAGTGGTGGCCAATATAAACAAAAAAACCTCTGACATTTTTAAAAAGGCTTTGCCAATATTTTTATAGGTAGGACAATGATTCAGTATATGTTTGGCTTTGAGAATTCACAGTGGACTTTAGGGAGGAACCACCGAACATAGACATTGTTAATTCACAAAAACAGCTTCAAAAGTTGATGTTATTTCTGGTTTTACATCTTGCAGAATTTCACAATATGTAACAAAAAATGCTTCTGGAAAGAATTGCCAGCCCTGCCTTTAATTTCAGCCGAGCTGCATGAGATGCAAAAGACAATGCCGAATTTTATTTTAACAGGCTAACAGTGACACGATTAAAGCAACATTTTCTTCTGTCACGAGTTTATGATCAGACCAACTCAAGTCTAAAATGAAACTACAGTCAACAGCTAGTTAGCATTAAATGTGGAGACTTGGTAAAACAGCTAGCCTGGCTATGTCCAAAAAGTGCAACTATAGTACTAGCACCACTAACAGTGGCAGCAAGACTCGAGGAAGTCACTACACCGAGCCACAAAAAAAAAGCCCTAGTTCAACACATAACCCAGAAATCTGTCGTTTTTACACAAGTAGAACATGTTCATTAGTAAACTTAAAAGGTTATAGAAGGTGGCTTCTGCTACCACTGCACAGAACCAGTTTCCAGTTTCCATGCTAAGCTAGCCTTTTAGACATGTATCAATCTTACTGAACTCTCAGAAAGAAAGTACTTCTCAAAATATCCAAAGTTAAAGTAACTTTACAAACAATGTTAATCATAGATATATCTAGAAATTGCAACTTTAATACTAAGTGGTGCAGGGTAATCCAGAATTAAATTCTCATCCTTACTACTGAAATCTATTCTTAGTTCTATTGTTCATTATTATAAAAACTAATAGTTTTGGGATGATCGATTTGAGTGTATAGTTGCTATATTCAATATTATTATTAATGAAACCAGTGGAGTTTATCACTGATGGTGAAGGTCAGAATAAATCATTAATGTGACTGTCAGCACTTAGCATAAGGACACAAAGAGTACATCATATTTATTCTAGAAATGACTGGCTGTTATACATAATTCATTATTATTTGAAATAATGGCTACATGGTGCAGATTTTTAAGAAGTTAATGAGCACAGTTGGTTGGTATTACTGGGTTTAACCCTGACAGAGCCGTTCTCTGCTGAGCTGTACGAACAGTAGAGCAGCAGTGTATAGGGCCAAAGCGTGCCGACAGCATAACATCAGTAACTCACTGCCACTGTATTAAGGACTGGACAAAATACAAAAGGTGTGAAACTATTTAATGTTAATAAGTGTGTTTAGTTACAGGTCTAATCCAACAGTGAAGTTTCCATCATCACATTTCACACCTATTGACAGATTTCTAGACGTTCTGACATGTCAGTCATAAAGTTTAAAAACATTAACATCTTCCACACTTTGACCCAATCTGACAAGTCTTTGTTTGATATCACAGTAGTTTAGCACAGTCTCAAAAAGATCCTAAACATTATAACTTTATGAAAGATACAAGAAAAAAAAAAAGAGACAGCTAAGTCATCTTTTATTTTTTTGTTCCCACTTGAGGTAAATGCCTTTAATTTGAGCCATTCAATGTCCAGTGTGTATTTTCTATTTGATGAGTGAATCTATGTGAATCAGTATTGTGTAAAATTCCTACTTGATGTACAGTACAGAAAGGTCCAGAATTTCATTTGGGTAAATGTTCTAATATTGAAGGAAACCCCCAACTGAGAGGTTTGTTCCTTAGATAATTTTTGACGGGTTTTTTTTTTCTAGCATCAACCTCTTTTGGCTTTTGTTTTCTCAGTGCCATCTCTGTTTTGTTAACTGTATGTTTTTGCTTGCTTTTCCTGATTTTTCCCTTTCTAGGGGTAGTGTTGTGCCTTAGCCATACTCCTGTTTTAGGAAGCCCTCTCTGAAAACATCAAAAGTGTGTCAAATGTCCAAATAAAGAAACATTTGTTGGGAGGCCTTATAAATGACCATAGTGGTACTGAAATACAGTTTTGGAAATAAAGCAACCTCCTTTTACTTTGCTGTCATGCAACTTATTTGACATTCATGTTTTAAAAGTACAGGTATTGTTGAGGCAAGGTCATACCATCAAAAAAAAAAAGGGGGTCTAATAACATGGCTACAATGTTTGTTAAAGAATAAATGTGGTGTTCGGGTTGCTAGGACTCGTTCTTCAGACACTAACATCTTTTTAATATACTTTTTATATGTAGGGGAATTTCAATTGTGCTAATTTTCTTACAGCAGCATCTAGTAGCTATTAGCAGAACTGCAGATTAAGTTCAAGCCCCATGGTTGAAGGGCAAGTCTGGTGATGTCTAGATTTGTCCAATTGTAATGAAATTCTAGGAAAATATCAAAAAGCAACGATGACTATCCTGACAGCCATCGTGTGTGTATCAAAACCTGATATAATAAATTTCTCTGTGCCACAGAGCTGCATTGTTGTTTAAAGACTATTTAATACATTGGTGAGCCACACTGATACACTGAGTAACATGTTTCTATTATCACAAACACAATATTTTGAATAAATTACACAAACAGCCCCAGAGACGACCTCAACACCTTCTACACCCGCTTTGAGATCTCCAGCTACAGCACAGAGAGGAAACACACACACACACACACACACACACACACACACCTGCTCAGTTCTGGCTGACTGGTGTTGTGCCAGAGATATTTATCCCCCTGGGTGGAGCGACAGTTTTACCTTTGCCTTGCAGCTCACAGTTCAAATGGTTCAGTTTCCCAGTGATATCCATTATAAACGCGAGGTCAATTATCCACTCCGTGTCCTGAAGCAGCGAGGCATCTTCCCCCTTGGACTGCATGAACTCAACAACAGGGCCATCTGAGACACTGTCGCGGCTGCCCTTCATTATTCCCTTTCTCACCTGGAAAATGGAGACTCTTACATTAGGATACTCTTCATTGACTACAGCTCCGCCTTCAACTCAGTTGTCCCCCACAAACTGTCCACAGTGGGTCTGCACCCCACCCTCTGTGACTGGCTCCTGGACCTTTTCCACGGCCTGCAGTTCTTCCCAGACGATCACACGAGGGATCCCACTTCTTGACACCAAGCTGTTAAGGAAAAAATCGTGATTCCTTTAATTCTGTATAATATATGAACAACCATCGGTGAGTGAGAAATAAATAGAATTGAGATGAAGATGTCTTCTGTGTAATTTATTTCTGCAGAAAGGAGTTGTCTACAACAGCACTCAGAGACATGTTACAGAGACTCAAAGAATAAAGAAGATTCAGTTCAATATACAGTGCCTTGCGAAAGTATTCGGCCCCCTTGAACTTTGCGACCTTTTGCCACATTTCAGGCTTCAAACATAAAGATATAAAACTGTAATTTTTTGTGAAGAATCAACAACAAGTGGGACACAATCATGAAGTGGAACGAAATTTATTGGATATGTCAAACTTTTTTAACAAATAAAAAACTGAAAAATTGGGCATGCAAAATTATTCAGCCCCCTTAAGTTAATACTTTGTAGCGCCACCTTTTGCTGCGATTACAGCTGTAAGTCACTTGGGGTATGTCTCTATCAGTTTTGCACATCGAGAGACGGAAATTTTTGCCCATTCCTCCTTGCAAAACAGCTCGAGCTCAGTGAGGTTGGATAGAGAGCGTTTGTGAACAGCAGTTTTCAGTTCTTTCCACAGATTCTCAATTGGATTCAGGTCTGGACTTTGACTTGGCCATTCTAACACCTGGATATGTTTATTTGTGAACCATTCCATTGTAGATTTTGCTTTATGTTTTGAATCATTGTCTTGTTGGAAGACAAATCTCCGTCCCAGTCTCAGGTCTTTTGCAGACTCCATCAGGTTTCCTTCCAGAATGGTCCTGTATTTGGCTCCATCCATCTTCCCATCAATTTGAACCATCTTCCCTGTCCCACTGTGCAAGTGATAATATTGAAATGGAAGGAGTATCAGACCACTGCAAATCTACCAAGACCTGGCCGTCCCTCTAAACTTTCAGCTCATACAAGGAGAAGACTGATCAGAGATGCAGCCAAGAGGCCCATGATCACTCTGGATGAACTGCAGAGATCTACAGCTGAGGTGGGAGACTCTGTCCATAGGACAACAATCAGTCGTATACTGCACAAATCTGGCCTTTATGGAAGAGTGGCAAGAAGAAAGCCATTTCTTAAAGATATCCATAAAAAGTGTTGTTTAAAGTTTGCCACAAGCCACCTGGGAGACACACCAAACATGTGGAAGAAGGTGCTCTGGTCAGATGAAACCAAAATCGAACTTTTTGGCAACAATGCAAAACGTTATGTTTGGCGTAAAAGCAACACAGCTCATCACCCTGAACACACCATCCCCACTGTCAAACATGGTGGTGGCAGCATCATGGTTTGGGGCTGCTTTTCTTCAGCAGGGACAGGGAAGATGGTTCAAATTGATGGGAAGATGGATGGAGCCAAATACAGGACCATTCTGGAAGGAAACCTGATGGAGTCTGCAAAAGACCTGAGACTGGGACGGAGATTTGTCTTCCAACAAGACAATGATCCAAAACATAAAGCAAAATCTACAATGGAATGGTTCACAAATAAACATATCCAGGTGTTAGAATGGCCAAGTCAAAGTCCAGACCTGAATCCAATCGAGAATCTGTGGAAAGAACTGAAAACTGCTGTTCACAAATGCTCTCCATCCAACCTCACTGAGCTCGAGCTGTTTTGCAAGGAGGCATGGGCAAAAATTTCAGTCTCTCGATGTGCAAAACTGATAGAGACATACCCCAAGCGATTTACAGCTGTAATCGCAGCAAAAGGTGGCGCTACAACGTATTAACTTAAGGGGGTTGAATAATTTTGCACGCCCAATTTTTCAGTTTTTTATTTGTTAAAAAAGTTTGACATATCCAATAAATTTCGTTCCACTTCATGATTGTGTCCCACTTGTTGTTGATTCTTCACAAAAAATTACAGTTTTATATCTTTATGTTTGAAGCCTGAAATGTGGCAAAAGGTCGCAAAGTTCAAGGGGGCCGAATACTTTCGCAAGGCACTGTAAAGCAGAGGATAACGTCACACAAAAGGAGGGTACACTGAGAACAATCACGCATCTGTGTTCAAAGAGTTTCCTAGCATCTAAGACACAGAGGTTCACAGGAGATACTTTCAAGGACTGCGGATGCTACAGTTGCTTGTGCAGTAAACAAAGATACCTCAGGCATTCAGTGTGTCAGCAGAAAACAGAGTTCACATGTCCAGTGCATGAAAGGTTACCACAGTTTGTTACCACAGTTGTTAGCAGACTATAGTTTAATATGTAAATGAACAATATGAATGGATATACTGAAAATTGCCATTACACACCCCACCCTCTGTGACTGGCTCCTGGACTTTGACTGGCAGACTCCAGACTGTCAGGATTGGCAACAGGACTTCAGCCAGCATCATCACGAACATTGGCACCCCACAGGGATGCGTCCTCAGTCCCATCCTCTACACCCTGTTCACCCACAGCTGTGTCGCCTCCCACAAGGATAACATCCTAAAGTTCACGGACGACACCGTGGCAATAGGTCGCATCACTGGTGGGGACAAAGCAGCCTAGAGGCAGAGATGACTGGTCTGGTGACATGTAATTCCACCTTTACATACTCAGTTTGCACATGCATAATTGCACACTCACTGCTGACTATTTGCACACACAGCTCCCATGTAGCACACATTCTCTCTACATTATATTGTGTTCTTCTTGTATTTTTATTATGCTTCTTTCATTTGCTGCTTTACAGTGCCTTAGATTTGTGTTACCTGCTTGTCTACTTTATATTTCACTTGTATTGTGTGGTATTCATGCAGACAGCAAAGTAAGAATTTCATTGTACAGGGAAACACGTTTCCTCAGTGTGCATATGACAATAAACACTTTGACTTTGAAATGTGGATTCATTTACAGCAGAAGTCCCCAACAAATGCATTATTTCCCTGTTTGACAAAATTACAGGGGCCAGTCATTTTTAAAAAATTACTGACGTTCAGTGCAATTATACGCTCACCAGCCAATTTATTAGGTACACCTGTACAATTGTATGTAACACTTCCGCCTTGATGTCTGTGTTTATGAAGCTCAAAAGGTTTCAGTTTTTAGTGAAATTGTCATACATGTATAAATTCAATTATGTTTATTACTGAGATGTACTAATTAAAGGTTGTACTGGACTACATATTCAGGTGTTCCTAATATTCAGACCTTCTCATGTATGTAGCTGGGGAGGACAAAAATATAGAGATACCCCTGAGTATAATGTAGTCCAGTACAATAACACCTTTAACTAAGACCTCAATAATAAACATATAATTTATACATGTATGACAATTTCACCAAAAACGGGAACATTTTGACTTGAGTGCAATTAATTTATCACTTCTGTAATAAATGCCATCTGTTAAGAGATACATTTGCAAACAGCTATACATCTTTTGATGGTGGTAAACTAGTAGCTTTCAATCTTTGTGCTAAGTTCAGCTTAGACTTCTAACTGCACTGAGATAAAAATTGATTTCCAAGTTATATGAAGACAGAACCAGATGATTTACAAAAGATGGTTGGACATCTTCCTATACTTTGTGACAAACTGGATGTAAAATGTATTAAAATCTAATCCTCACAAGAAGATGAAACAATATTAAATAATGGAATGCAGCACTAATTTGTATCATTAGTAATCAGAATAATTAATCGGTTACCTCATCAGAATCACTTATGGTTAAAACTTATGAATATCTATTAGAAATAGATATTCAGGGTACTATTGTGAATTGTATTCAGGGTTATTGTCAGAATTTTAGCACCACACACCATAATAAGTCTCTAAAATGTTATTTGCATTTGTGAGATTTTATTTAAACTGCTTATATTTTATTTAAATCTTTAAGTTTCATTTAGATTAAATAAAGTCTAATTGTCAGTTAAAACCCAAAAGTAGCCCAAATTTAAAAATAGATGCACTAAACAAACACTAAAAATCACCAGGTATGGGTTTTTATGTTTTAAAATTGCAGCTCGTAATATCCCTGGGTGGCTAATACCCCCCCACAAATAAATTAGGCCTACCGGTCCAACATTGTAACTTCAGTTCTGACTATACCGTTAATGTTACTGGGTTGTGTTGTCTGTTCACATGAGGATGTCTAAACCCTACAAATTGTACTAAGTTCCTGTTTACAGCAAAGAACTCCAATGTTCTCCAAAGCTTTTATCTGTGTTTATATCTGTTTAGAGAAGCCGGCAGTGTCTCTGACAGCTGCTGCCATTTTAAACATCCTCAGTGTTTCAATACAGTTTAGTCTACATTTTAACATTTTGTTTTATTATTGTCTTTATTTTCTTGTTTCAATTATTAGTCCGTTTTGACTGTGAACTTTTATAGCTAATAAATAAGGCTAGAACAAATTGCATGATGTCTGCCTTGCAAAACACATTTATGATTATCCAAAAATTGCATTTGGTGTTGAAAATGAACATTATGACAGAATTTAAGTTCATCACCGATCATTTCTGTTCATTTTTTCTTGAACTGTTTAGCTGAAGGCAAAAAAACCCTCTATAAACACATTACTGAACAAGTTGAGGGAAAGGTGTTATTGATTTATCTTACCCGTTGTCTTCCAGCCTCCATCTTCTACTACATTACTACAGAGGTTTACATTATAAGTGCACCAACAAAATATTCAAATTTCCAACAGATCAGTAGGTGTCCTTGTTATGACAATGTCAAAAAGCACAACTGATGTTATCATTACTAGTATTTTATTACAAAATATCAATAGGCTACGTTAGTCTCAAAATGTGACCTCTGTTCACCTCTATTGTGAAAAGCAGACATTATTTCACCTTATAATTTCTGAATAGCATACCATATGGCTCCTATGACTAAAAAAAGTATACAAAATATACCCTACAGAGTGTTAGAATTATACATCTTCAATTGTTGTATTTAGGTGTTTGACAGGAATTGCTCTCTAACCATCATCAGTTGTCAGACAAACCACTGCTTCCTCCTTGTGTTTATTCTGTTGCTTACATCAGACGTTGCACTAAACCAAACAGGGAAAGTACAGTTTGCATTTACAAATTTCAGTTTATAATTAGGTAGTTTATAGTTACCCTAAACCTACACGTGTTATACCTCAGGTTTTATCTCCTGTCCTAACTCTACAGTTATAAAATATAGCCCAATAGGTTGACACCACCACAACAACACTCAAAAGTACTGAGACTTGGATTTAGTTAATTTCAGACACTTCCTAAAGGACTGACTTTTTGATGCCAATAAACTGAAAAAAGTTCATGTTGGCTAATAGTAGAAACAATAAGATATCGTTGCTTCTATAGAAAAAAAAAAAACTTACCTGATGATGAAATCCAATCGAAGCGCTGTCACCCAATGTTGTTCACCTACAGTTTGTCCTCATTGGGAATTCCTTTTAATTACTGCTGTTTGACAATCCAACCAAATACATTCCCTTTTTCTTAAACATACAACTTTCTCACGACATTTTGACGTTTCTTAGCAAGGGAAACCAGGTGTAACGACTTATCGTCAATGATGTCTATGGTTACGTTTAGCTGTTCCGGTGACCTAGCAGGAACACCATTGTTTAGGCTTGTAGCCTTTATCAGTGACACCTGTCTGAAAACTGCAGTCCGATGACTGCTTCAGTTCTATGAGATATCGTCCTGTTAAGTTTTCATAATAAAGATTTAAAGACATTTAAAACAACATGAAGAAAAGGGCTATCGCTGACTGAATAGACCCCCATTCCTCAGCCCTGAACCCTCAGTTTTTAGTGACGTCACCTGTTAACACCGGGATTGGGGGTATATCCACCTTTTCCTGTGGGCGTGGCCACTGACCCAAAGACCCCACACCTATGGCTCTAAATTTAAACCCTGCCTTTTGTACTGGAACAGTACGTACATCTTAATTTGTAGTTACTGGGTTTAACACAACTTTGTTTAGCAATATGCTCTACGTGAGGACAACATAAACTTAAAAAAAAAGAAATATCAAAAGTCTTAAAACTATGTATTGAGAGAGGGTCCCTTCACAAAACAGGGCCAGATAATCACAGTAGATAATGCAGGAGTCAGCTGATGTTATACCTCAGTATGGTACAAAATATATTGTCACAACTATAAATAATAACAATCAAAGCCAATGGAGACCCCTTCTGAGACCCCTGGGCAGTTGCCCAGTTAGTAATCCATCCTTATCTGTGGGTATAACAGTCATTGTCCATTTAGTCTTGTTTTCACACCCAGAGGCAATTTTCTCTGTTACTGCGCAGCATGCAACATACCATGCTGATTTGCACTATTAATGTAAAGCATTTTACTGAACACTTTGCACACTACACAGAACTCAAAGACAAAAACTTTACCTTATAACTATGGCATCCCCTTTAGTTGACATTTGGTGTTATAGTTTTTTGTGTATTTTATGTGATGTGACTGTTGTATAACTAACATTTCCCTTTAGAAATGTGGACTTAATCAGGTTATCCCTCTATTTATGACATTCCAATGAAGTGATGGTAAGACCATCAATGTAACTACCACCTATTCGTTTCAAGATTTTGATTCCTCTGTAGCATCAATTTGATTAAAACAAAGCTCTGGAAAGAAGCAATGAGGAGATGTTTGATTTTAACACATTTATATAAAAAAAATACTGACAGATTCTATTAAGAACTATTTACATAGAGTTTTCAAACAGCAGGGTTTTGCCAGTTGAGGAGAAAAGAGGAAATTGGCAGATGATATGCACAGGTTGACTGATGGGCAGATGTGACGTCACAGCTGTTGTCTGCCTCTCATTTCTTGGACAACTTGGCTTGTTTGTTTTTAGGTGGCGCCCACTTCAAACATATAGTGTCCACTGTGAAAGAGACGAGACACGCTATAAGTGAGACGTTAAACAGCACTGGAAGTTAAGCTTTCAAACACTGAGTGATGACAAGCCTGAAAATTAGAAACTGAAAAAGGAGACTCGGTTCACTGTATCATGTCTGTGCCGCCCGATGATACTTACAGTGACCTATGCAAAAACCTTGGTGTTTACGTTATGTAGGGGTCTTAACGATTGATCCACTGATTGGGATCGAATCATCGATCAAAAGCCCCACAATCTGATGACACTGATGCAAAATGTAAACATCTATGTTATGCGTATTTTTATTCTGAAAGCCAGCTACATATGTATGCATTTCCAGTGAAGTGCTTTTCTCTTCGAGTTGGACAACATGTGTCAGGCAGTGCAGCTAGCGTTCTGAGACTGGGAAGTCACACTAAAAGTAAGAAGTGAGCAGCACATAAGCTACTGAAGCGTTTCATATGTTCACTCCACACAGTCTCCAACCTCTGTGCAGTATCACTGACGTCAGAACAGCTGTCTGTCAGCAGGACAGTTACCGGGCAAACAGTCTGTGGGGTTTACGCTTCATTAAACACACCAGAGAGAAGAAACAGACAAAGTGTAAAAAGAGTAATGCATGTCTCTGAGTCGGTGTGAAGTGACACATTTGACAGATTGGAGTTCTATCTGTTGTGTGAGAGGGGTGAGTGACAAAACACTTTCTATGAAAATTGGCCTTGACCTGTAGCAGCCAAGAAAAATACACGGATAAAGTAAACTCTCCCATGAGAAACAAGTCACAGATATAGAAGTGTTTTGGATTTAAAAGAACATATACAACGATAAGTGTGAATGTGAAGGTTTAAACAAAACTCCTACTGCAATGTAGGAAATATGATTTTTTCCAGATATTTTGTATGCGTGAGGATGTAAACGCTTCCTGTCTCAAAAGCCAGTTTATGTAGAATTGAAAGATCATCATGGCTCCATATTTGTATTTAATTAGCACTTGAAAGCGAACGGAACAGATCAATAAGATTTTAAAATTATACTCTGCTTGCATTTCAGTTAATAAAAATGTAATTGTATGCAATAGGCACATAATATTGTTTGATTGCAAGCCCCTAAATCAAATACAATTGAAATTGCATCGTGGCATATTTTTAAGTATCAGCAAACATCAGAATGCTGGCTAAGATAATCGATATAGGATCGCATCGTGATGAGAATGGTGATTTACACCCCTAATATTATGTGCGTATCTGTTCAAAGCTTAAACTTTGTCGACTGACAGAGAATTAATCAGCAAAGTTGAATAATTGTCAGTTTTTTTAAACAAAGATGTCTACATTTTCTAATTTCATCTTCTCAGATGAGAATTTTGGCTGGTTTTATTAGTCTCCTGTGAATGTACCTTTGGCTTTGGACTGTCGGTCAGACAAAACGAGTCATATGAAGATAGCACCTCAAGCTTCATGAACTTATGGACATTTTCATTATTTTTACCATGGCAACAAATCTTCATAGAAAACCTGGACCCAATAAATGGCATTTTTGCTTGATAAATTACATTGACAATTATTTATCTAATTTGATGTCATTGAATTTTCTCTTTACCACTGTTTAGCAATCAGCTGTTTCAGAACTAGACTCACTCAGATACAGACACATTTACATTATGGTTAGGTTAAAGTAGAGGCGTGGTTTGGGATTAGGCGTGAAAGTAGTTGATGGAAGTTTTTGCTAATCATATAATGTCTGGTCTTACCTGTGATTGGTGGTTTCTTGTACTGGGCACTTTTCAGGTGCTCATCCACCAGTTTGGGCGTCACACAGATCACATGTTGACCTTTCCAGTATTTCACCATATTAAGCGACTGCAGCGTGCTGATGATGTCACTCTGCGTGATGCTGGTCATCTGGCTGTGGATAAATAAAGGCAGAAGGCGTCCAGCATGAACAGAAAAATCTGAGCTCCCAGTGAACGCAGGGTGAACGCAGGGTGACTGTGTCTAAAAAGACAAGAGGGCTGGTCATCAGGTGATGATGCTTTAGCAGACAGTGGTGTGTGATGTTTGTGTACCTGAGGTCTTTGATGGAGAGGGTTCCTCTGAAGTCCCTCAGGATCTCTAACAGGACCCAGGACCAGTAGCTCCTGTAGCTTAGCTTCCCCAGATCAGACAAAGGCTTTTCTGGAGAACCAACTGTGCTCTCCAGTTTAGACAGTTCATAACCTACATGTATGAGAGCCGCAACAGTTTATTACAAAGGTGCAATAATGAATCATTTGTGTGTCCCACTAGTATATACTGCCGTCATATTCCAATAGCATTTGGCTTAAAATACATGAATCCAAAAATTACATTAAGGGAGCTGATGTTCTTTCTGCACTGTTTTTACACAAGAGGCTGGCTCTATAAAGCTGATAACGGCAACATCTGAACAGTATTCCAACATGCAAACTGACTTTTGTCTAATTTTGATTTGGTTAATTATCAAGTGGCAATAGAGAATAAAATATACTGTTGAAAAAAACAAATCTGTAGGCTTTGGTATTTTTCTGTTCAAGACATTTTACAGGCTAACATTTTAGTAATGGAATTAATTAAAACAAATTCTATAATAAACCATTAATGAAAAACTGTAGCACACATACACATTTTAGCTACTGCTCTCTGACTTACTGAAAGCTATGAGGAACTTTCCATAGCCTCTGCGTTGGTACGGTGGGAGTGTGAGGATACATGCCACGTTATTTCCATCTGGCGACTCTTTCTCCTGAAAAACAAAGCCAAAAGCATCGGTACAGATGCACAGCTGTTATGTGTACTGTTCAATTCAAACATGTTTACATATATGATTTTAAAAGACAAAAATCAATATAATGGCATGAGTGAATTGTTTAACGTGATGGGGCTGCCATGCATGAAAGCTTAAAAAAGGGATGTTGCATCCATGATTCTGATAAAAGGCAAATAGGTCTGAATCCACTTTATTCTAAAACAGAGGTCACATTACCAAATATTTTACGTCAATGACGGAATTTCTTTTAATAATGACTGAAAAATCTAAAAGGCATTTTGTCAGATTAGAACACTGAAGGGCGACCTACACCAACTTAAAGTTAGGTGTATGTAATGTCTCATTTAGCCAAAATGTCTGCATTTTTGCTTCTGTATAAGTGACTAAATGATTTTAGAATCACCATGAAAGGTAACAAGAATAGGCTAAATTCAGCATCACTATTCAGTACGACCTAGAAATCTAGTCCAGTTGATTTTTTCTAGGTTTTTTCAGTTTACTATGACCTGGATGACTGAGAATCTGTAGACATATTCAGTACCACCTGTAGAGACAGGAAGGAGTAGGGAGACAGAGGCATGGAGATAGGAAAGGTGTGGGGGGAAAAAAAAGTATGTTCATGCATCTGTCTATGTTGATCTGTCCATACTGATGTTAATCTCACTCAGGTTTGTCAAAGTAAAATGCCTGAAATGGGAACTCGAGTCCTGGTTATTTCACCATTCAGTTAGAAAGAGACATAAAATTCAACCTATTGGGTGAGGTGCAAAAACAGGAACCGATATGGTGGATGAAGGACAACTGAGACCTATTCAATGCATCTTGCTATCTGGAAGTTGACAGTGCGTTGAAGAGCTGTGGACTGGAGGCCACAGAGCAGGTCTGTAACCACTACAGGTCACAGAGGCATGCAGAAGGAGCACATGCAGTGGATTCCTCCTGGTGAAGTGAGTGATTCAGGATTGGAAAATCTCACATTCAGAGCAACTTCTAATCAATTCCTGAGAGAAATGTTCCCCGACTTCAAAACTTTGGCTGAAGTGGGGCCAGAAAGTCCAGTCTCCAGTGCAGCAGCAGAGCGCTTCAGCTTTCAGATCAAAATTATAAGGGCCATGAGGAAAAGCCTGTCCAAAGATACAAAACCTAGTGACAGGTGCCTCTGCAGCAGGCCAGGCTACAGCAGGTCAGCTGAGTTTTATACAGCTAGGCTAATGTCTTCTTCATATTTTGTAATTCTCTTCTAATTTTGTAAAACTGCATTGTTCATACATTCTTATTTACGTAGAATGGCTGCAGTGTTTATAATGGCCTCCACAGTCACTACAAAAAAAAAGTCATCTGCTTCGTGTGGTGCTGACATGAAAAGTGGCTGGACACAAGCTTGTTCTGTATATTAATTATTCAAAAGAATGAAAATTAAATGCTATTAAATATGTATCAATGGCAAAAAAATTGTGCACATTCAGTCCAAACAGGGCACTGCTGCTGGACAATAACAATTAGGATTAAATGAGATAAAGTGTGCCTGCATTAAATATGGGTAATAATAAATTATGATGGAATTTTTATGACCCTGTCTATAAAAATGACGGACAATGAGAAAGTCTAGAGTGCCCTCTGCTCTAGAAACAACACCAAACCCCTCTCATCATAGCCTTCAATGATGAGACTTACTTTGGAAAAGTACCCAACAATGTGTGCTCCATGTTTGTTGACTTCAGTGAGGATGTAGAAGATAAATGGCTCCACATCGAAATATAGCGTCTTGTGGTCGAGAAAAAGTTTTGCTAGTAAACAAAGATTCTGGCAGTAGATCTGCAAAAAGAAAACAACAATAAATCACAACATGAATGAACTGATTTACTTTTCTTCAGTTCAAATGGCAGTCCAGATTTACTTCCATTAGAAATACAACACAGGACATAGGATACAGGTACCACAAATAATCCAAATAATTTAGCATTAAACAGCTGACATTTTCAGGTTGAACATAGACTTTCCAGATAGAGTCACCTTGTGGTCCCGCCCATCCACTTCATACACTGATATATTGCTCTTTCTGTATATTTCCTTTCCTGGAGGCTGCTTCCACTGACAATGGGACTGAGGAGAGACAGTTCAAAGGTCATCCTTCATACATTCAGGTTCCAGGAGATATATGAGCATAGCCTAATTGCATTACTTGTCTTTATACTAAATTTGGTAAAATTTTTGGTTTCACATGGGGAAAAAATGCACTGATGTTAAATGAAATGACAGAACAAGCACAGTTTTCTTCCAAACTAATTTTAAGTATAGTTCCAGACATTCCACAGGACTTTTAATAATGCTATCCATTCAAGAGACACCAAAAGATTGGACAAGCAGCTACTGTGCCTAGTTCACATCTGTGTTTGCAAAAAGAAACCATAAAAGTTGTCAAATTTAAAAGAATGACTTTATGAGAGAGACAGTACATCCTAAACTGAATTAAAAGACTGACCAGGTGATATCTGAAGGTCTTCTCATACTTCATGTATTTAAGGCAGTACTCGCAGATCCACAGCTTGGGCTGCTTGCCATAGTCTTCTGGAAACGGTGAGAAGTACCAGGCATCAATCTCAAAGTTTCCAATCTGGATCTTATCCACATATTTCACTTTAGTGATCTGTTGGACAAACGGGCAAGGTGGCACAGTGAGAAAAATCAACATTTAACCAAACAGTGCAGAGGAGTCAGATGGAAGTAAATGAACATAACGGGCCAAGGGAACAAGGAAATGGTTCACTTTTTTAATTTATGTATGTAATCTTTAAGTGAAACCAACACCTTACCGCTTCATGCTCCTTCTCCAGTGCAGCAGTTGTTGGGTCCATCTCTGCATACGTCTGCAAAGGGGAAACTCCATTAGATAGGTAACAGCCATTTAATATACGAGGCCATCACCACACAGGCATCACTAGACCCCTTTTACTGGGGCACGTGCCCTAGTATTGATCTGCAGTGCCCCAATAAAAGCACATGTTAGAGTTTTACCAAGCTCCTATATTTGGAAGTCGATTAATTTAGATTCTATATAATGGGAAAATATTTGATTTGTTGTTCTAATCCAGAATGTCGAAGCAACAGTGGTTAGGTTTCGTATACCACAGTGTGCACATATGTCATGCATGTTGTAGCTGGAGCACTGCAGCTCACACACAGCAATCCATGTACTGCGCACAGAATAAAAGAAAGGAATGGACTGAGATATGTGATGGGGAAATTTAAGTTTCTGAATAATACCAATCATCTTATTTTAATTTAGTTATTTAAGGGAACTTTACATAGCACAATGTATAACACATTTAATTGATGCAGTAAACAGTCAAGGAAAAAAAGGTGTTTTGACTAATGGGGGGGTCCATAAAATGGAACAAAATCTGAACCTTCTGCACATGGTTGATTTCATCGTGCTTGCGTTTCTGGTTGCGGGTGATCTTCCTTTCAGGCTGGTCCCCCAAATCACTGACACCTCCAATCTCTGTGCTCTTTCTCACTGCATCCTTTACTGTCTTGGTAAGTGCCAGACGGGCCTTACCCACCCACTCATCCAGACGCCTGTTGACTGCATGCCAAGGAACAGGGGATGTGGATTAATGTAGAGCAGTAAATAAGGGGTATATCTGAGGGTACAGGAAACTTTAGAAAAAGTACAAATATAGCACAATGAGGGTAGAGCATGGATGATGGTAAAATAAACATAAGACTTCACCATCAACTTTGAGCATGTAAATTTCATTGTGTGCATTATATTCACAAGAGTGTATGAAGAGCTAGTACTTACATCCTACATAGTGAACATAAAACTCCTCTCTGCCCTCCTGCTCATTCAGTCGGGACTGAATCACCTCTGCTGCATCTAAAAATAAGACAAAAATCATCAGTCAATGAGAGTCCTGTCCTACAGAGAGGTTTTCACCAACATTTATTCTCAGCAATCACTCAGATCTCCAAGACATTAATAGAGCCTGCTATCTAGTCTGTTTTAGCATTTTGAATGCTAAAACGAAGATTTATACGGATGATCCTAAAAGCAACTTAAGTTTTATTTACCCCGGCGAAATGTTGCAACATGTCATATTTTAAAACTAAAGCGCTTGTTCTCGCGCTTAACGTTGTTATAACTAGCAGTTAACGTTACCTCGATGCAGAGCGGTTTCAGAAGGGGAGTGGAGAGAATATTACAACAGTAAAGTAAACAATCATGGCGGACCACAGCGCCACAAAGTTACATTGACTTGCCTGCTATTTTCCAAAGTAAGAAGCTGAAATCAATAGCAATAATTATACTTGTGACATTTTAAGTTAGCGGCATGTCCTACAACGTTTTAGATTGTCTCTCTCAAAACTGGGTCAATTTAATAATTACGTACCTTGCTAACTAGCCGAGCTATCTACAACAACAGAACATTGAATTAGTTTGCAAGGCTGTACAAGTCATCAAAAATAGTAAGTGATGAAAAATCCCGCTGTTCCCTACAAAAAAAAAAAAACAATGGATCTTATTCGACTGTTTGTAACTGTTTGACGCTACATGAATCACGTGGCCAGCTGCCATTTTTGACCCCCTCAATGTCGCAACTCTTCTACCTTAACGGCTCTGCTCCAGCCCCCATGGCATAAAATAGCTATTATTGTTGTTACGTCCTACTGCCACGTTTTCAAGCAAATCGAAGAGACTGCACTTAACGATAACGTTATGTTAATATAAGTTTTTCACCAAAACAAAAAAGGGTAACTGATATCTGGATGAAATACACACAACCAGGACAGTCTTCACTCACGCCATGTCTTGTCAGCTCTTTGGCATAAATATGTCTCTCCGATTTCGACTGACACCTCTTGCTCTCTGCCGAGCACACCTCCTCCACCCGGCGTGTGCTGACTACTAGAGCTCCCGGCTTCTCTCCCACGACCAATGGCCTCCGCCTCATCCTCTTCCCCGCAACTGCCGTTAGAAGAACACGCAGCCGGGATATTATTGTCCAGTTCTCCCCGCTCACTTTCGATATGACTCGAATCCATATCTACATCCATTATAGGTTCTAAGTCTTTGTTGTTATTATACCTCTTGAGATACTCAGTCCCGCCAGTCATAACCTCAATCACTTTAAAAACAACTACACGCCTCTACGAGCCTGCGCAGATAACTCAGATGGACTGGCCTTCAATATTAAAATAAATGCCAAGATGGCGCCAGTGACGTGTAGGTAGTTCCTCCTTTCACGTTTTAAACTACAATTCCCACGAGTCTTAGCGACACGTATTTGAATATTTATCATCTTTTGTGTTGAGGAGGCGCTGAACTCTGACTGTCCAGTAGTGGGGGATGATATAAATTCAGGGGCCGAACTAACAGTTTATGAATAAAGATGAACAATTGAGCTGTGATCTAGCTTTCTGTGCATTGGTTTGAAACGTATTGTGGTATTTAATACTTACGAACACTTGTAATAACATTCAACGTGAAGAAGTTGCATTGTTGGTTATAATGTTACCCTTTACCTGAGGACAAGTAGCACAAACACTGTAAAATACTGTAGTCCTTAAGATAAAAGTACTGCTGCAAGGTGTATTAACACTTAAATTAGGCCCATGAAGAAGGTATAGTATAATGATCTCTATCAAAGTTACATTAAACAACCTGAGTATTAGTGAAGAATTAACATGTAAGCAACAGTGTGATGTAGCTGGTGAAGCTGCCTGAAGACAATTATGCTGTTTTTTTTCCTGCTGGGTGGTCTGATTTACTGTACATCAGTGTATTGTATTTTTATAAGCTCAGTATGTTTTATAATCTACAAAGTAACCAACTACTACAATGAGATAAATGTACTTGAGTATGGTTATGCTATTGTTTCCTCTACATTTTCAGCTGCTTCATATTACAGCTACACTGAAATCATAGCTGCATATTTTCAAATGTCAAAACAATCAAAGATATTCAAGTTGCAACAGTCACTCTTGGTACAAAGGAACTGAAATTAACCTTATTATAAAATTTAATTAACGGACACTGTAAGACAATGCCATCCAGAGGAAATTTAATTTGTTTCTCTTTCAAGTCACACTGCATCACAACAAAAAACAACAACCACTGGTATCTGATATTGGTGTGCATGAAAGTGCATACCAGAAACCAAGATAATGGCGATGTAAAGGACAGGATTTTACAGAGACTGTCATGTCTGGTGCAGGGCATTAATCTATGCAAACTCATAATGGAGGTACACATACATTTGTTCATTGGCCCTCCTGATGCCCTTTGTCATAGCACCTCCTCCCTTCCCCCCTCTCTCTCCACTACCCTCTGTTGGAAGCCCCTGCTGTGACCCCGGTGGGAACCACCTCCTCTGCTGTACAGGTTATTGGCCCCTCCCCTGCTTCTCAAAGCTCGCCCGTCCCAATGGTATCGTGGAGACCCGGTGCCCTCACTGTGTGGCACAGGTCGGTGAGGGCCTCTTCTCCTTCCGCGATGACTGTGGCTCCCTGTAGAGTCTGCAGCACCTTTTGGGCAATCACTTTCCAAACCTGACTTGCACACTGACTGATCGCCTGGAGAAACTTGCATCTCCTTTTGCTCAGCATAGACTTCTCTGCCTGTCTTCAACTTACTCGATCCTGCATTTACTTGCACCCTTTGGCCATGATTACCCTGAGCTGTGGCTTTTATTGGTTCTTCAGTGCAGTCTGAGGACACACAGATTTTGCGCAGCTGCTCTGTAATGGAGGTGGCACTTCCATGTAGTCTGGATCTGCCTCCTCTCCTCGGCCCCCTCACCTGGTTTTGACGCCTGTGGCCTTGACCACCTCTACAGTGTGACATTCCAGAAGCGAACTGGTCCACTTTGACACCAGATCCATCACAGGGCACATTAGAGGCAGAGGGTGCTGTGGGGCCAGAAGAGACCTCTACATCCAGGTTTCCGTTTTCAGCGACAGATGGAACCTGTTGGAATTGACATGCACCACTGTAAATGTTTATATAGGAACAACATTAATAAACACCTGCATTCAGTTTTTGTTCTAAGCGTTTTATCATTGTAACACTCAAACTAAAATGTCCTGGTAATATTTTATGTAACACGACAGAAATAAAATCCATTTTTATCATATGATTTTGTTTGGTAAGTGATCAATACATCAGCTCCTACAAGACAAGTCTAATTATTCAGTTTTATTTTGATCAAACCTAATGAGGGTCTGTACATTTGTATGAAATTATCTTGTGACTGAGACCCCCGTTTTGTGTGTCTTTATTTACATACTGATATAATGTATGGTTTGCAGACTGTATAATTTCTGATTCATCATTACCTCATTGATATGGATGAGAAAACGATTTGATTCCACCTCAGGGTCAATGATTCCACCTTTAGACCTCTGTCTTTCCAGAAGCTTCTGGAGTTTACCCCACTTCTGTTGGAAATCTGAGCCAAGTGCTGCTTCATCCAGCTGAGCGGAAAACACAAAGCCTGTTAATGTTTTGAGTTTTCAGACTGTGAAACTGCAAGTTCATTGTTGACCCTGGAAACAGCAACTGGAACTAATGGGCCGTGTGGTGAGATTGTTTTGTGAAGTAAAACAGTACATGTGAAGCTGGTTTCACCTCGGGCAGCTGGGGTGCGGGGGATGACAGCAGCTCATCAGCATCGTATGTCAGCGGCTCCCGACACACCGGACACACCACGGTCAGCTCCTGGTAGATGAGCCAAGGTAGATATTCAAGATTTCTCTGATTAAAACCTATCAATTGTCAATGCAGCTGCTGACATCTAACCTTATAGTCTGTTCTCTCTCTGGTCTTGTCCTCCTCCAACTCCTTCTCCCTCTGGAGGAGCTCCCCTTCAGAGTGGCTAACATAGCGACCGAGGCAGTGGGAGTGGAAGTAGTGGTAGCAGCTCGTCTTGGTGAACATTTCTCCCTCCTGAAGACATACAGTGCACACAGAAGCATGAAGGGGTCGCTTACATTTTAGCAGATGCAGGTTTCAGGGACATGTCTGGAAATATCTGCAAATCAGAGACAGTTTAGAGCATCATTACATAAGTTTTCAGCCCATGTGGGGGCAGCAGAACAAGCTGTAAATGCAACACTGACATATCACCTAATAAATTAATTCTGTTTTTCCTGTTGTGTTATGCAGACAACTATGCTCAGCCTGCATGGGCTGACAAGACACCATAAATTCATAAGATAGATCCAGTGTGCTACGTACACATTTTCAAACAGCAATATAAAAACTAGACAGCACTCAGAGCACAAACCTCCTTCAAGGCAGCTCACTGTCCCCATAATGCCATTACACCTATAAGCAATATTCCCATGATAATTTGACACCACAATATGATTCCTTGACCATGAAAATCTTCCTCTAACATTTAGAATAACAATGACTTCATTATTAGTTAGCAAGTTATTCAAGAAAAACAGACAGTGAGGGAGGGGAATAAAAAACCTGATGAGAAAAATATAAGACTGTCCAGCATGGTTCTCTTCTTTGTGAAGACTAAGATAAGCCAGTGTGATTAAAGGACACATGAACACTATACCTTAAAGCCATAGAGGCAAATGACACAATTCCCATGAGGAATGTTGCTTTCAGTCAGGATTTCTTTTGCCTTCTGCAGGAGAAGACAGGACAATTAGAAAAGCAGCTGTACACCAGAGAACTTCTACAACAGCATTACTTCAACAGTACCATAATGCACTAACTCAACAGATAACATACTGCATATTCCCTTCAATTACATGAAAGTAAGCACTATATGTAGTGACCTCAATGAGCTGATACAACACCGGTGAACCCAGACAGGACTGAGCCTCCAACTGAAGACACTTTTGGACACTAAGAGAAAGGAGTCGCACATAGTTATAGGATTTTATACTCTATATTTAAAGCTCCTTCACAGCAAACAGTGATACTGGTAAACAAGACGTAATGAGAGGACAGAGACTAATCAGTTCACTACCTGCTGAGCTTGTCATCAGAAAGCCCCCGGGGGTTATGAATGGAGATAGCTGGACAGGACGAGGGATACTGAGGGTACAAACCAGTATTATCATCAGCATAAAAGACCAAAGCCAACAGTCAATGTACCCCGCTGACAAGTAGTGTGTGTGCATCCAGAGCCTGATGTACGTATCTCATTCCTATGTGCCATGGAGCTCCAGTGGTGTCCAGAATCCATTAAAATAGATCAGTGTCATCACATCAAATGTGGAATAGTCCCCAATAAATGCACCATTTCATCCTGTTTGTGTGATGTCTGTTAAAAACTGCTGTGTCTGGGTGTTTAGGAAATGAAGAAGCCTTTTACAAAAATGAAACTTTATATATGTGAGCTGTTTTTAAAGATTTACATCTTTAATAGGAACTAGTGATGGGAAATATGGCAATGCACACTACCAAGACATAAATATAAGCATGGGAACATCCTCATCTGATATTATGTTTTTACATCAGTTATATTTTAATAAATATTCTCCAATCACACTGAAATTCACATAAAATGGCACAGAAATATCAAATAATGAGGTTAAAAAAACACAATCCATATTGTGGCCACTGGGCCTAGACTATACCAGGTCTTTTCATGGTATTTTCTTCTTTGATGTGATACAGATACAGTACATTACAATTTTCAATCATGGAGTAAAATGCATTTATTCTATCAATTAACCACATCTTGACATGTGCATCTTCCATTGTGTAGCATTTAATTCTTGACATTTTGTTTCTGTCACATTATTTTAACATACAAAAACTCAGCCTGCACAAATTCCGAGGCAGGAAGAAACAATGGAGACTTTACCTGCTGATCGACGGTCAAAGTCAGGGTGAGTCGGACAAATTGGGACACAGAGTCCTCCCCTGTGGATGGGTGCAGGACCAGGCTCACCTCCCAGCCCCTGGAGGACATAAAATAACTCAGGATAGTTAGAGGAATTTTAAATGAAAAACCTCTAAGTTATAATATTGATTAGCTTCTTAAAAGATCATGAATCAGAATTTATATTTGCCATAAATTAATCTTTAAAACCTTTTGTGTAATGTTGTTTGTGGCACATGAGCTAGGAAACATGAAACACAGATTTTTCAATAGAGTTTGGCAATGAGTATCTGCGCAGAGCAAATGGTTTTAGTTGTATTGCCTTAGTCTTGCTAACATCTGGTGACACCTCCTCATTGTTTATCAGTCTCCATCAGTGCCAGGGTTTTGTCTCTTGTTTGTAAATAGCTTTGTTAAAACTGCTGATGTTTTAAGTTATTTACTGACATCAGAAAGTTTACACTGTCTTCTAAGACACTGAGCTGATACACAACCTCCTGTGATGCAAAGAATTACTGACAGACGATGTAGACTGGTGGCTTTGAAACAAACATGAGGCTTTGATTAAGTTTTTAATGTGAGCTACAATCATAACATTTGGGCTCATCATGACCTACAGAGAGTACAGAGGACAGTTTTAGTTTGAGATAAGGTGCCTAGTTTGAGGCCGTATAAAGGTCTTGTGGTGGTGCTACGGTGTGTGCTACACCTGTAATGAACAGATAGACTCACAACGTTTAGCTGTGCTTCACTGTACCACACAACCACATCGTCAACCGGATGCGATTCACTTCGCAGAGCTTGATGCTTGGGGTTTGGCATCCGGTTTGGGTTATGTCGGGAATCATTTGGGATGAAACCCCGGCTCATTACTTTGTTAACGAGCTTTTCCTATGTGGTTGAGTTCTCACATGAGCCCTGCACTGTCAGCCACTAAATAATCATAAATCAAAGCCAAAAGTAATGAGGCAAAGTGTTCCAGCTAAACACTGTTGTTGTCTCACCCGTCCTCGCTCTTGGTGACCAGCAGTTCATCCAGGTAGATCGACTGCAGCACCTCGATTTCAGATAGCACACTGCGGAGAAAATGAAGTAGTTAATTCGCACCGCCTCTGTTTTTTGACTAGTTGAGGTCCACACAGATCCAACTAGCCTTAGCTTGTTAGCCGACTAGCTATCTACAGCAGACCTGCGACATTTCATCAGATTTTACTAAGAGCGCAGTGACAGCCACTGCATGACTGTACACCAAATACACGGTATGTCATGATGTTTACGAAGGTTTGAGAGAGGAATTCAGACATTTTGTCAACAAACTCACTCGCACTCCGCTGCCATGATGTTGTCCCTGCTGAGGTGCTACTGGTGTAAATCGACTGCTCCACGCAGACCTTTCAAAGAAGTGTCCCGGCTTCAAGTGTCGTTAGCTCGATTCAACACATTAAAAACACACATAACCACACTACAAATACTGTGTCATTACGTCTGATACCAGAGTAGCATCTCAATACTCGTAGTCAGAGCGTATCTAATTTACAGAAATTTAAAGTTTTATTTTGAATGTCTTCACCGGAAATTTAAAGATGCTCTTGTCCGAGAGATGGTCGTGGAGATAACTATCATTAGTGATTAATAATGGTGACGGGCTCTGGTGGTTAACTACACCTCTGTTTTAGAAATAAATATTTTTGAGAAAAGAAATTGTTAGAGTATATACACACATGTAAGATTATTTTATTAAATAGCCTTATTCCTGACAACATTTATTTGATAGAATTGATCACTTTCTGCTGTGGTCAATTAAACTAAAAGAGATCTTTCTCATTTAAATAAATATACGTTTTGTTTATTGCAGTATTTATGTATATTTTCATTCATTTGTACATATTTCTGTACATATCGTATATCTTGCTTTATTTTATCCAGAGTACAATGAAAAATAAAGTTTCACTTGCACATTTAGTAGTTGTACATAAGTGTACACTGCCATCCGGTGGTCACGATGCGTAACTACAACTGTTTTGTAAGTTTTATTGTGACTGCTTCAACCGGAGGTAGTATTACACTTAATTTGGCTAACTTGATATAGCGGTACGTTGTTGTAGTTATTAATTTGCCCACCAGGGGACAGAAATGTTCATAATTAAATTACTCACATATACCATCTGCTTATGTAGTTACCTAACAGCACTCATTATTTGTATGATTAATACAAATATTGATAGTTGTGTTTATATGCATTAATGAGTTGTACATGTTGGTATTAGTTCTGATCATGCTCATTCTGTGTATTTAAATACTGTAATTTAAATAGTTTGGCAGATCATCATGGTTCAATCTGACGTTATTATACAAATGATATAAACTCAGTAATGCTAATGGTATTTTTTCCATATTAGTAATGTTTTCTTGAATATTTTTGCATAGTCTGTATTCCTCGTGTGTCCAACACACCTGGCCAATAAAGCTGATTCTGATTCTGATGTTTTATTAGATTTTTATTTGTTAGCTTTTAATTATTCCTATCTTTGTAATAATTTTTCTACATATTGTAGCCTACATCTTGTTTTATTTTCAGTATTTTTGAATGAGGTAGAAAATAAGTTTAAGAAAAACAAATATACAGAGATATAGATAGTCCTGGATGATTTAGTAACTATAGCTGTCATGATTTATAATGATGAATCATGAAAGGTGATACATTGGTGTGACTGGTGGTCACACTGACTAGCTACATGTGTTGTCAGAGTTTTATTTTTAATGTTTTAAATGGAGTTAGCGCTGTCATCTCACAGCAAGGAGGTTCTGGGTTTGACCCCGGTTGAACCCAAACCTTTCTTTGTATAGTTTGTATATCCTCCTTGTGCCTGTGTGTGTTCTTCCTACAGTCTAAAGACATACAGTAGGTTGATTGGCAACTCTAACTTCCCAGCAGGAGTGTGTGTGTGTGTGTGTGTGCGTGCGTGTGGTTGTCTGTCTCTAAATGTCAGCCCTGTGATAGACTGGTGACCTGTCCAAGGAGTACCCTGCCTCTCACCCAATGTTAGCTGGGATTGGTTCCAGCCCCCTAAGACCCTCTTCAGGAGGGCAAGTGGCATAGACCATAGATGGATGGATGGATGGATGATCCATGTTTTAAAGCTTTTTTCCGTTTTAAATGGAAGTAGGACACCCCTTAATATAGTTTTGACTCTGGGGCAGCTACAGTTACTCATCTTGGCCACAAGGGGTAGAAATATTCATGATTCTACAAAATAGTAATTGCAGTTCCTCAGTGACCACTGGAGGGAGGTAAATACTCATGATTCAAAATGATGTAACATGTTATTACAGAAATGCTAAAAACCTATTGGTGTTAATTTTCCTATTACTTACTATTGTTGTCTGTTACTGAAAACAAATTTCTAAAAATGTCTTGATGATTATCTTTGTGTGTAAAATCTGTATTTTCTGTATGTAAATCATGTGTTATGTAGTGGTGTGAAGGCAGCAAACCTCATTATGCAATACATGCATTTCTGTTACCTGTAACACTGAAGTGATCTGTTAATTTGCACATACTCTACTCACAAAATACTGCTCTGAATTCATTTGCACACTGTTCATATGCTGATACTGTGTATTTATCTTTATCTTTGCATTATTTACATCCATTGAACTGTTCACTCATGTAACATATTGTTTCATTCCATCTCAATCCATTGCACTAGTGTTCCATAAGCTTAATGTGCCCTGTCCATAGTCTGTTGTACAATGTATATTACCCTACATATCTTACTGTAAATATCGGTTGTATATAGATAGATAGATAGATAAATTAGTTATGACTGTACAGACTGTAGATACTGCACACTCTGCACTGCTGTTATTGCACTTCTGGTTAGATGCTAAACTGCATTTCGTTGCCATGTACTTGTACATGGGTAATGACAATAAAGTTGAATCTAATCTAATTATTAATGTTTGCTGAACAAGTAAGTGTACAATAACAACTCTTAATACACTTATTACAAACATGGATAGATTCTACCGTTCTTTGTAATAATCACACTAACACTCATGTGTACATATTGATAATAAGTTACACTAACTTGAACACTGTATAGCCACAAATTTAAATTGAATGTTGTAGTTCTTGACTTTGGTCAGTAAATTCTATCCTATTATTGATTTTATTATACATATATAATATATAGTTACGACCACACACTATAATAATAAAACCTCCTGTGAAGTTTCAAAATAAAACTTAATTCTTGAGTCTTATTAACTATGGAGGGCAGCATTACTCTAAAGTTAACATTCAGTCGACCGGAAACACATTGGCGGCAGAAGAAACAGGAGAAGAAGAAGAGGAAGAAGAAGAAGAAGAAGAAGAAGAAACATAAACCCGCGATACTGCCAGGGTCTGTGGTATAATGTTAGTGCTATTTCAGAAACTGATGGGTTTAATTGATATGAGCAAATTATTTTTGTAAAAAGTTTAAACAAATATAAGACGTAATGCTTGTACAGAGAGAAGTGCGACGTAATTAAATGTTATATTCACGCTAGCTAGTTCGTTCTTTCTGAAGAACGTATAAGAAAATGGAGGAAACAGTGATGGAATCGGACTCGGAGGAAATTTCGGAATCCGCTCCACGACAAGGAGTTGCTGATGCTTGGGAAACTGTCACTACGGCTTTGGTGAGTAGACTTATCCACTTCACAGCTAAATGAGAGAAGACAGACTTCCGTTCAAATATTTCACAATTTAACGTTTTCTCCGTTGGGGAAATATTTCATATCCAGTGGGACATGATTTAGTCAAGTTCACTAATCAGAAAGGTTATTCGGTCAAAGTCGGCGCATAGTATACAGTGCCTATACATAGTATTCACCCCCTTAAAAGTTCTGATCTTTTATTTTATTACAATATTGAATCATGATCGATTTAATTAGGGTTTTCTGACTGATCAGTAGAAAAATTCTCTTTTATGTTAAAGTGAAAACATGCACTGTCATAACATAATCACTAACTCTGATTTGGTCCATTTTTAGGTGTCTCCTGGATGTCCACTGTCAGAGCAGAGCCTCTCAGACTCCCTGGACCTGCTGTGTAGCCAAGGTCTGGGGCCACTGCTGGGGACCTGGCTGCTGGAGACTCTGCAGATGCATCTGTCCTCCTATGTGGTTCCCGAGTTCTGGTCTGGACTTAAACAGCCAGAGAACGAGCTGGAGGAGAGAGACAGGGTCTGGATTCTCCTCACCACCTTTCAGACACTGTTGGGCCGACTGGAACCTTTCTTGGGCATGTAAAAAACAAAACAAAAAAAAAAACCCATCAGTTGATAAGTTCAACACTGAACATTGGTTCTCTCTGTGTATGTCAGGTCAGCAACAGTATTCAAACATCCCCTCTTCCTCCTCCTAGGTGGTCTGGAGAAGCTGGGGACATGGCAGAACGAGGGTCGTGGTGGTCTTAGTGGCCCAGGGCCAAGGGGCCTGCGGGAGCGGGCCTTCACCATCATCAGGGCCCTCCTCCTCTTCTCTCCCTCCCCTGTTCTGCAGGAGCGAGTGCTGGAGTTTTACAGCAGGACCTTCTCTGTCTATATGAACCAGGAGGGGGAGACTGAGGAAGGTGCTGAGGTCCCTGATGGTCCAGAGGGAGGGACCTGTCCAGGCTGTGGGGTCCCAACACAGCAGTGCTGGTGTCAGGAGGCCCTGGAACAACTACAGGAGCTCAGCCATATACTGTGAGTGGACTCAGGGAGAGGGTCTGGAAAGATGATTAATACACAAAGAGCATACTTTTGGTTTTGTTAGAGTCTAGCTGGTGATGGAAGTGAAGCCTCTAGCAGATAGGGAGGAAAATGTTTCTGATAAGAGCTTTAAAGTCAGTTAAACAAGACCTAAACTAAAAAAAGAAATATGAAAACTGTGGGTTACATAAAACAAAAACGGGCAACCACATTCTGCTGTAAAATGAACTATAATCAGGGTAAGCTATACAGTAGAAGTGTGATTTAGTCCATAATAAGTGATAATCTTATATTCCATTTGAAATGAAACATCTGATTATTTAAAATGTAGTCTGGACCACACTAGCTTCAGCTTGTATCAGTCAGACAGTCTGCAATCAGAATAGTTATTTTTGAACCTGACTGTAATGGAAGAACTAAGCAGCTGATTTAGTCAAAAATAAATAAAACTGAGGAATGCTAAAGGTTGTGTAAGAAAATTAGTTCATAATTCTCTTCTCTCTGAACCAAACAGACAGTTTAGGAACTCCATTTTCTAAATATTACATCATCATATGCTACCTTGTGAAACAGGAATGTGAAGTTAACAAGATTTGTAGTAAATTGAATTGTCTATGATATCTCAGGAGAAAAAAAACTGTGTGGTACCTTTTGTTTTAAGTGGGTATCAAAATTGTTGTTTTCATGTTTCAGATGAAGATCAATGGTTGATTTATTTACCCCATGTGGTTGTAGGTCCAAACTACAGATGCTGGAGTGGGTCAGCTCTGAGGCCGTCACCTCCATCCTCCACAAGCTCATCGAGCAGCGGATGGAGCAGCACTGTAGGGGCGAGTACGAACGCTCCTTCCTGCTGGAGTTCCAGGAGGTAAACTGTCCAAACTGATAAGTGAACATTAAGACAAGTTTCAAGACATGTTGTCAGGATATAACTGGTTTTGTGTGAGCAGTGGCTGGAGCTGGTGTTGGGCTGGCTGAACAAAGTGTTTGCAAGTGAGGTGCACACAGATAGTCTGGTACCTGCTCCCAGTGCTCCAAACAACCAAGGCGGTCAGTCTGCCAGCTCCATCCTGAAGCAGTGGAGATGCCACATGCACCAGTTTTTCTGCAGGATCTATGTCAACATGAGGATTGAAGAGCTCTTCAGCATCATTAGAGGTGAGAGAAACAGGATAATTGATTTCAGAGGGTACCAGTGTGCTTCTTTTAATCTTAATGCAATCATTTGGTCTGCCTGAAATGATGTAACTGTAATTAAAAGGTTAGAATTTTTTTTACCTTTACATACACAGGTTCATGGGCATGGGTTGCTGCACTTTTCTTGTTTATTTTCATTTTTCTCACCTTCAGATTTCCCAGAATCTAAAGCTGCCATTGAAGATCTCAAGTTTTGTTTGGAAAGAACCAATCAGAGGCAGCAGCTGCTCACCTCATTAAAATCTGCTTTTGAAACCCGCCTGTTGCACCCGGGTTAGTTCAGTATGAACAACATTCCTACACTGCTGTGATAGATAGATAGATAGATAGATAGATAGATACAGTATGTAGTGATGAAACCGCAGGACAAGAACCAATTTGACAATCCATCTCTATGTGGCGTCATTTCTGTCCTCAGGCGTTCACACATCTGACATCCTCACGGTCTACATTTCGGCCATCAAGGCCCTGAGAGAGTTGGACCCATCCATGGTAATCCTGCAGGTTGCCTGCCAACCAATCCGCAAGTACCTCAGGTGAGTTCTAGCATCTTTATATTTCAACAAGATTAAATTGTAATTATGTAGATACAGTGTAATGTTATGGTCATTTTTATAATCCCACTTGACATGAAGTGTACCGTTGGTGGATGATATCGGTGGCCTCTCCATGAGCTTTGTGCTTTTGTTTGACATCACTTGGTAACAAACTTTATATAGACTTTTTCAAAGACTACTCTACATGATACAGGCTCAACAGCTATGAAAACTAGTAATACACACCATTAAAGTTGACAACAGTTTGAACCAAGAGTAGATGAAAAGAAACACAGTTAGAATAAGGAGGTTGTGGTGTGTTGTAGGACTCGGGATGACACGGTGAGGCAGATTGTAGCTGGCCTGACTGGAGACGCTGAGGGCTGCACTGACTTAGCCTCCGAGCTGTCCAGAGGAGACCCGGTGACTCTGGAGATGCAGGACAGTGACGAAGAAGGCAATGACCCTGAGGACTGGACTCCAGACCCAACTGATGCCGTCACAGGTCAGTAAACATGCCACGTTCATATGGCATTGAAGAATTAGCAGAACTTTACTGGAGTCTAATATGTTTTTTCTGAATGTTTGCCAGATAAAATGGGCTCAAAACATCGTTCATCAGACATCATCAGCCTGCTGGTCAGTATCTACGGCAGTAAGGACATCTTCATAGATGAGTACAGAGCCGTTCTGGCTGACAGACTACTGCTCCAACACAACTACAACACTGCCAGGTACATCTGAACAAACTGGTTTTGTCTTACCTACAGATACATTTCATCAGATAGTGAGGGTTATGTCAGGTATTAGAGCGCTTTCAATATTTGGACAGACAGGAATCCTAATCCTAAGCAAGTGGATACAGGGCCTATGCTGCCTAATTGACAGAAGTCCAGTATGGTTTTTGGAGGAAAGTCAACCAGAGATTTTGTAACAATCAGAGTTTCACAATCATGTGAATGATATTTATATATTTATTTGTCAGAAAGTCAAGTCAAGATTTTTATTTTCCATTTATGCATAAACAGACAGTCTAGGCATATAGGAATTCTTGTGCATCTCGCCTTTGGAGTCAGGTAAGGAGTCAAAAGCCAGAAAGAACACTTAGTCTTAAAATAAAAAAAAAGTTACATAAAGGTGACAAAGCATTAAAAACCACATTACACAAAAATAGGGTAATAGTATTTTCCCCAGTGAACTTCTAACATCGCACTTAATAATTCACATGGTGGAGTTGGATATGTCATTATGCTTGGTGAGGTAGCGAGGGGTTATAACATACTAATACGCATGTTTTATATTCAGGCTTGTTTTCATTGCTTGGTAGAAAATGTCCTGCTATTACTCAGGTGGTGATTATGGTAACTCTGATATGGCACAAATCCAACATAATGGTGGCCTGAACATTTCATTTAATAGACTTTGTTGGGAAAATTAAAATTTCCAAATTTGAATAATTTCAGTTTTGGATTTTCAGGTTTTTGTTACATAAATAAATGCATATAAACAAACAAATAAATATTCAACATACTAATGTAAGTAAGATATTTCTCATGAACAAGGGGAAGATGATGGCCATGACACTGTGCTGAACTGACCATCAGCTACTTCCTGCTCTTTGTCGCCAGTGTCATCATCCATTGCTTTTCTCTGTGGTTTTGGTTTTTTGTGTGTTTGCAGGGAGATCCGTAACGTGGAACTGCTGAAGCTCAGGTTCGGGGAGTCTCACATGCATTACTGTGAGGTCATGCTGAAGGTAAACCTATTCAGTGACACTATGGGTACATCTCATGGGTCTTAAAAGATCCTCAGTCGACCAGAGTGACTTCTGGGTCAAACGAGGTTCTGTGTTCTCTTAATATCCGCTCTGAGGAGCGAGAACTGAGGACGGTGCTGGAGGGGCCATGACTGAGGATACACGGCACCATCCTTCAGGGATGTTTTTTGTGAACCGACATACCCATTTATCAGAAATCAGTTGGTGATTGGACAAGGAAAAGATGCAAGTGAGGGAAACAACAGTGCTAAGAGACTTGGGATGTACCAAATGTTTTAGTAGTCACTGTTAAACAGTCCTACGTGCTGCAAGACTCCAAGCCATCATCTCTGCTGTATGCACTAGTCTTAAACATGTGCTGCTGCTCTTGACCTAGACAAGGGCAGATGTTTGGCTTGTTTTTTCTATTTCCAGGGTTTTGGTGGAAACTTTTGACCTTTTACAGTTTAGTTCTGTATTAGATTACATGAAGAAGTTGAATTTTGCTGCTGATTATAAGGAAGAGAGGTTTTCAAATCCCAATCTATAAAGAAAACAGTATTTCTTCAAGGGCGAAGTTTAATTTCCAAATGAGATGCTCGTAAATCACGTGCCGTACAATAATACGTGGTAATGCATGGTCGCATTTGTCTCCTCCGTAGGACATGGCAGACTCTCGGAGGATCAACAGTAACATCCGTGAGGAGGAATCGAGGCTAAGCGAGGAGGAGCAGCCCTCGCTGTCCCTATCAGCCATCATCCTATCATCCGAGTTCTGGCCTACGCTTAAGGAGGAGAAGCTGGAGCTCCCTCCACTCATCTGCCAGGCCATGGAGGCTTACACGCACCGCTATGAGAAACTCAAGGTGGAGATCACCTCCTGCTTCTTACAAAGACTGTTAGGAGGAATTTGTTAAGAATTGTACCACTGCTGGTCTTGTGTGTTTTAGCTTTTTAGTTTTTAGATTTGTAATTAATCCATCAGCATTTTTTCATGGATATCTTAGCAGTATTTTTCTGTTTAAAGTAAAATTTCTAATCTAACATTGCACCTTTTTCTCATGTTGTACTTTATTTTGACTACTCAGTCATTAGATAATTTACTTCTCCTTTTTGATAAAGCTTATAGTTAGGGCTGGATCAGGTGACCCTGAGCCTTCCCTTAGTTATGCTGCTATAGGCCTAGGCTGCTGGGGGCCCCAAGATGTTCTGAGTTTCTTTCCCCTCCCCTTCTGCTCTGCTCTGCTCTCTCTCCCTATGCTTCTATATGCCACCATTACACATTACTGTGTGTCTCCTCTCTCCTGTAGTGTGTCCTCTCTCTCTCCCTGTACCTTTCTACAGGTTGCCCTGGCCCTGGAGCTCTATGTCTCTGACGAGCAGTCACCAGCCTCATCGACCTGATCAGTGTTTGATTGTTGTGTCTTGTTGCTTTTCTTCTTTTG